CGTAGTCTTTCTTCCAGACCCGGTTTTTCAAAAGTTAAAAAAAAAACAAAAAAAACAAAAAACAAAACAAAACAACAAAAAAACCTTTTAAACTAAGACCCCTCTATCTTCCAAATTAAGACTCGGTAATAAAGCATGGTAATAGAACGTAGTCTTTACTTCAGACTCGGTTATTTAAAACAAAAAATCTTCAAGCTAAGACCTCACCATTTCATTCCTGTGGAATATCATGGGTATAGAGCGTAGTCTTTCCTCCAGACCCGGTTATTTCAAAGGAAATAGAAATTTAAACAAATCTTCGAAACTAAGCCCATCATCTTATTCCTCTTTTTTTCATTTAAAAAATAAATTACATTATTACATGTGTGGATACAACACGTCACAAATAAATGATTGGTCGGCGGTCACACGAACTGACGAATCAGTCAAAATGGTCCATATATATAACACACAGAGGAGGGACCGATTCGATGGTTCGTTGACCGTCGACGATTTCTTAATCATGTAAATATTCTATTGTAAACAAACAAAAGGGTATCAACTGGGTTAAAGAGCTTCCCTCTTATACAAAACTCCTAAACGAGGACCCGAAAAAGGTCCTTGGATGGAAATCTCCTTTCGAGATTTTCTTTGGTAGGAAACCAGAACAAAATTATATCTCCCGTCAAAAAACAAACTATACTATCCATGGTTGGGAAAAGAATGTACAAGCTGTTCGAAGAAAGGCTTACAAGGCTTTGCAGCGTGTAAAAAAAAAGAACGATTAGATCCCAGGAAAAAAAACTTAATGTACCAAACATACCAGATCAGGTAAAGGTTGTTAATATTCTTTATCTCATTGTATAATTAAAATAATTATTTCCTTTTGATCAGTCATACTTCATTTCAACTCCGTCTACTCTTAAAGCATCTGAAAAGTATTACTGAAAAACTTTTGGAGTTGTACGTGTTAAGTAGTTTTATATGGACGAATACTAAGTTACAGAAAGCCAGGTACATTTAGTATTTCGGCATCTTGTTCTCTTATTTTTCCTAGCTTAGAAGAATTGTCACGTGTTAGGTTGTTTGCGTTTTATATCAAGTTCAGTTGATGTTATCAGGTTCAATATTGCCCAAATTATAACCTTGTTTGCTTGTAAAAGACATGTGAGTTACTCCACCTTTTTATACGTAATAATTATTTTGGTTCTGTTACCGTCTGTATATTAATGAAACAACCTCTTCATTCGTTTGGAATAAAATACTTTCTATCTTACAAAATCTATGTATCCATCATTGCATTTAATACTATAAAACCATAACCTCTGCAATTTACTCACATTGATTGAGAGAGTATATAGATATTTTATCAGTCAAAGGGTTCTGCAATCGTTCATCCAAAACATGCAAATATGTTTCGCGCGATCTCGTTATACAGCTATTTATGATTTGTTATATGAAAGTATGCGTTGTTATTTGCTTGTTAACCGATTATCATCCCCCCAAAAAAGAAAAAACAGGGTCATAGTACATAATAAATATAAGGTATAATGTGTAAATCATCAGGGATAATTATGTTATAATAATTAATCTCAAGGAAGATATGCTGCCGGCGAAGAAGCAAATGGAGGAATAGAAAACATTATAAAAAAAAGCTGAAGATGGAAAACGACATTGCCAGATAGACAGAGAGACAGACAGGGAGAGGGAAAGAGAGAGAGAAAGAGAAAGGGGGGGGGGGGGAGGGGGCGGGAGAGATAGAAAGTTGGACGTAGTCCGTACTGTATTTATTTATATGATTTTTGTCTCTCCGATCAACGGTCAACGAACCATCGAATCGGTCCCTCCTCTGTGTGTTATATATATGGACCATTTTGACTGATTCGTCAGTTCGTGTGACCGCCGACCAATCATTTATTTGTGACGTGTTGTATCCACATATGTAATAATGTAATTTATTTTTAAATGAATAAAAAGAGGAATAAGATGGTGGGTCTTAGTTTCGAAGATTTGTTTAAATTTCTATTTTCTTTGAAATAACCGGGTCTGGAAGAAAGACTACGCTCTATACCCATGTTATTCCACAGGAATGAGATGGTGAGGTCTTAGTTTGAAGATTTTTTTTTAAATAACCGAGTCTGAAGTAAAGACTACGTTCTAATCCCATGCTTTATTACCGGGTCTTAATTTGGAAGATAGAGGGGTCTTAGTTTAAAAGGTTTTTTTGTTGTTTTGTTTTGTTTTGTTTTGTTTTTTGTTTGTTTTTTAACTTTTGAAAAACCGGTTCTGGAGGAAAGACTACGCTCAATACTTATATATGTTCTTCCACAGGAATAAGATGATGGGGTCTTAGTTTTGAAGATTTTTTTTTTTTTTTTAAATAACCGGGTCTGGAGCAAAGACTGCGCGCTATACCCAGCTTTATTACAGGGTTTTAGTTTTAAATTCGACAAAATATCCCTTCAAATTTATTACAATTGTGGGTAAAGTCATTATTACATTTGTGGGTGATTCAAAATATCACTTCAAATTTATTACATTTGTGGGTAAAGTCATTATTACATTTGTGGGTGATTAAAAATTATTACATTTGTGGGTAAAGTGGTTATTACATTTGTGGGTGAAATTATTACATTTGTGGGTAAAGTGTTATTACATTTGTGGGTGTTGTTACATTTGTGGGTAAAGTGTTATTACATTTGTGGGCGTTATTACATTTGTGGGCATTATTACATTTGAGGGTGTAACAGGGGGGGGGGGGAGTGGTGGTGGCACATACATACACATTTTGTGTACTTTCCCTCTTTCGGATTGTCTGTTATTTTTCTTTTTCTGTGACCCTCCCAATCCCCTTCGCCCCCCCCCCCCCCCTCCCTCGCACCCGCTAATGTTAAGGGTATGTTATAAAAATATGATGGCGATTGTTAATCATATATTTAATTCATTGCTTAATGACATTTCTATCATCTTTACTATGATTCAAAACAAGATGTCGCTATACACTATTCAATGATTGTATAAAAATGAATATATTGTCATTTTGTTTTTATTGTTCATATATGAAAATTTGCCCTGTTTCCATGCGTTAAAAGAGGGAAGATTAGCCATTCTATAATTAAAGTAATATTCAAAATCAAATGCCAGAGCCGTTTAATAATATTTTGATAACGAAATAAAATTTCACGTTGTAACTAGTATCATCTACACGACATGTAGAAAGTAAAATTGGGGACGCGTGGCAAAAAGTAGTTTAATTCAGTGAACCTAAACGCAACGATCCCATTTCCGTATTCAATGATTTACATAACATTCTGTCATGTTATTAATTGCTATGATTCAGGATTATTTATTTTCCACACCATTTAAAGAAATATTAATGTTTTCTAAAATTGATTATGCTTTGTTAATTTTACATGGAATACGATTCAAATAATAAATCAATGAAAACAAAATCATATTATTACACTATTTACACTTTTGATTCTTGTATTACTCCACTGTATAAAGGTCATGAATTGTTAACTTCAGGATAGGTTTTGGATGAAGTTAAATTCCAAAAACAAAGAGATTTGAAGAAGAGAAAAATGTAAAGTGTGAATCACATGACAAGGAAATGTTGCTGAAAATAAATACGAAGAACATAAAAAATACTTTCATATTTGCTGAATGGTGAATGGTATGGACATCCCCAGTATATTACAAACTTAAAAACAATATAGACATTGGAGCTCAATTTTTTGTTCCTGTCGATTTACAGAAACGATTCTTTTCCTAGATATTTTATGACATTGCTATTTAATGTTGTAATTTTTATTTTGATGTATTGCATTTGTATTTTGACACTGTTTAATTATTTTGTTAATATTTGATTGCTTTGTAAAACATACACTAGCATCCTTTGAGCTGCATGTCAAGTTGATCTTTTGATAAACCAATTCAATTAATTACAATCATGATTAATATTGACATTCGTAAATCTTTGATTCGTATCTTAATTAATAATCTTTCCCAAAATATAATGGATTCTGGACTACTGTAATAAAGATCCTCTCCTCTCCCCCACTTATTTTTTCTATCTCCCCCACCCTATCTGTCTTTTTCTTCTTCTCCCTATCTCTCTCCGTCTCCATCTTCTTTTTCTACTTTCTAATTGTCTCCATCATGGGCACTGTGTGTTGAATCATTGTCATAATACGGAGTCCTCAATCGTCGCGTTTATAAAATATGAAGAGGGGTAAATACAGGTATTCAAATAAAAATATAGGCAGAGGGAGCATGGGGAGGACAAAAGAGGGGAGAGAGAGAGAGATGGGGATCGGAGGGTAGAGACAGGAATACTAGCAAGCAAATGCATTCAAATGCAGCGCCAGGATGGCTAGGTTTTAAACATCTGCCGTCCGGCTCAAGTAACGCATGTACAATGTCTTTTTTCCATCGTGGTATCGTACTAATAAGTAGAACAGAGCTCTTGAATATTCACTATTTTCATTTATATATTTTAGCGCTGGGAGTACATCCTCTGTTGTTCTAATATGTTCAATTTTTGTGTTTAATGGTCCTTTGTTTCGTTTGTCACGAAACTTTGACCATTCGAAGTTTTACGTCCGTATCTGATTGTCGTTTTTTTTTTTTTTTTTTGCATAGACCTTTAACGATTCAAAGGTTTACGTCCGTATATAATAATCCTTTTTTCGTTTCGCTACGTTATTTGTATTTGTATGACTGTTCCTTTGTTTGTTAATTTGTTCCTTCTTCTGGGTACTTTGTCTATTTTGTTTCAATGCATCTGGTTGTTAGTGTTTGCCCTAATGGCCAACCATAACACTCACCACTTCCTAACCAAACTTTTCATCATAATAATTGATAAATGTTTGCTCATTTACCAACCCTCTTACCTTCATGTAGGCCTGTATTTACCCAACATTTGTTTTCATTTCTCCCTTTCAGCACATGCTTTATGATCGAATCATAAGAGGGCGCTCGACGAGAGTAGACGTGTATAGATTATCGCTCGCAACCGCTAGATTTTTATCTTTTTTAATCGCGTCGTCTGCATATCACCAACGAGAAAACATATTTTTGTTCTCAGGCGCCAACGTACACTGACCTGCCAATGACTGATTTCGGCCTATGGTGTTTTATGCAGGGAAGCAACCTATTGGAATCTTTCAACCTAAGACTTTAAATCTATGCATTCGTCTTTTGGAATCATTCTGCCTTTTTAATTTAACATCATGATTGGCGAGAGGAGAAAGAACTCATTGTGCAATCGTCTTGTTTTAATGTTATGTTTAGCCTGGGTGGCCGAGTCTGGAGCTGACTGTGAGTAAAATTGATGAATGACTTTTGTCTCCATTTTAATTTGTTTATTGTGTAGCAAATTGATCATTTATTTTCACAAATGGAATTCATCTGCAGGCATAGGCCTACTTGTAAATCATATGAATCAGTATGTAGACTATAAACTGTAGAACGCTATTATAATTTTGAAAAATCAACCAGTTTGTTTCCAAGCAATATTTGAAATAATTACAAAAAATGCTATGTACTAAAGGCCATAATAATATAGTGAGCATGCACTAAACCCCTCGTAAGAATCTCCGCAAAGTGCTGTAGAGAAATACTCAGCAACCAAAATTGACAAGGTAGATTGCATTTTGATGGGAGATTTTAACATCAATCTTTTAGATACTGATCAGAAGGTCGAACAATTCCAAACTGCATTGCATTGTTTAGGATTAGAGCAATTAATTACAACCCCCACAAGGGTTACAAAACTGACTTCATCTTTGATCGATCATGCATATACAAATGTAAATTCTTCAAAAATTCATGCAGGTGTAATAGAAACTGATATATCTGACCATTTTCCTATCTTTGTAATTTTTGAGCATTGTACAGTTACTAGTAATGACACGTGTCGTAGGAGAACTACCACCCGTAGCTTTAAGAATTCTGAAGATAAAAAGCTTCAGGAAGAATTATCAAAAGCAAGATGGGATCTTGTTTTCAGACAAGAAGACGTGAATAAAGCATATGACATGTTTTACAAGTTATTTCAAGAGATATGTGATAAAAGTGCACCAATCGTAACACAAAGACCAACCAGAAATAAAAACACTGCCAAAACCTATGGATAACTAAAGGTATACTGAAGTCAATACGCAAAAAAAAAAAATTGTATTGTAAGTATAAAAGATCAAATTTGTATTCACTATCTGGAGATAGATATAACAAATTTAGGAATATTTTTACTTTAGTTATAAAAAATGCAAAGCGTAATTATTATAGTGATATTTTAAAACAAAACAGGCACGACACCAGAAAAACGTGGCAGACTATAAATGAGTTATTGTGTGGTAAAAAAAAGTGTCAGGAAAGGGTACCGACATTGAAAAATTGACTATTCATAAAAACGGAGGGAGTAGGGTGATAACAGATGATCATGAGATTGCTTCTGAATTTAATAAGTTCTTTGTTGATATTTGAAAAAACCTGGCAGATAAACTACCACAGAAGGATGCAGATTGCACTGCATATTTAGGACCTAAGCTGAGTAAAACTCTCTTTTGGAAACCAGTGACTGACAAAGAAATTGAGAATCACATTTCTGCCTTAGATGTTAACAAGTCATGTGGGTATTATTTTTTTTGTGTGTGCCTCTAATGAGGTGTTTATTTACATTCAAACATCAAAATAAAATTGTGAGAACAAATACAATTGACGCACACTGTTTTCAATAGAAATCATATATTTTTTCTCAGCTATACAATATTTTGCCACTTTTCATCTAAAGTGATTGTAACAGTTTCTTTGGCAACCTCTGGTCTGGCTTTTTAAGCTCCTGATTTACAACAATTCTGTTTTTGATTTCTCTTTCAAATACGTATCTTAGTTTGAAACGGTTTTCATTACATCCATACTTATTCCGGGTGACTAACATTTTGTATATACACCAGAATGCGATCGTTGTTACAACGTCTATCTCTCTGTCAGTATTAATCTTAAGTAAACAGGAGATATCCATGACAAAATCATTATTAAAAGTGTACTTCACAACATGTTTGATATAATCAAAGAAATTATTATTCGGTTCACATTCGATAAACACATGCACTATGTCCTCTTTGACATGGCACTTGGGACAGTATCTGTCGTCTGCTAATCCCCATTTGTAAAGATTGTTTCTAACAGGTAGTATATTGTACAGCAGTTTAAAATTGAACTCCCTTAAGCGATGTTCCCTTGTATATGTTAAATTCCTTTTGAACACGGAAGACCATTCAACATTTCTTTGTAGTATATTTTCCCAAAAAAGACAGCACCTGTTGTTGTTGAATGTATGTTTAAAAGATATCATATCAAGTCATGTGGGTATGATAAGATATCAGCGCGACTGCTTAGAGATGCAAGTCACTTTATTAGTTTCCCATTATCTCACATATTTAATTTGTCTTTACAGGAAGGTAAATTTCCTGATGCCTTTAAAATAGCAAAAGTAACACCAATTTACAAGAAAGGGCCAAAAGACATCCAAGGAATCTACAGGCCAATTTCTGTATTACCAGTACTTGGAAAAATCTGGGGAAAAATAGTAAATAGTCGGTTGATGGATTTCTTAGATGTGAACAATGTGCTGCAGCAACATCAGTATGGCTTCCGGAAGAAATACAGTACAAATTTATCTGTTGTTAATTTGTCATATGCATTATTGAAATCAATAGATGAGGGAAAACTAACTATTGGTGTGTTCATTGATTTTCAGAATGCATTTGATACCATAAACCATGACATTCTAATTAGTAAATTATCTCATTACGGAATACGTGGCATTGCGCTCCAGTGGTTCGTAGATTACCTCAGCAATAAGATTTTAGTTTGTGAAATACCGGGAAACAATGTCTCAATATTTTAAAACATCATGCGGTGTTCCACAGGAATATGTTCTTGACCCAACTATCTTTCTCATTTATATAAATGATTTGCCAAACTCTACAAAATTGTTCAACTTCAGGTTATTTGCTGATGATTCAAACTTGTTCCATACCTTTAAGACTGGTCAGAAAGATATTTATATGAATGAGGTGAATACGGAAATGATTAAGGTCGAGCAGTGGTGTTGTGCCAACAAAGTCACAATCAATCTAGGCAAAACAAATTATATGATGATAAAGGGAAAAAGGAGATCTGTCCAAATAAAAGGTGCTCTTGAAATATCTGGATCTAAATTACTTGAGGTAGATAAGGCATCTTGTGTAGGACTACAAATTGATAAGCATCTCACATGGATTGAACATATAAAAATGGTAAATCGAAATATTCGTTCAAAAATCGGAATTTTGTTCAGAATAAGGCATTATGTCCCACAGAACATTTTAGTGCTATTATACAAAGCGTTAATCCAGCCACATATTTTGTATGGAATCGCAGTATGGGGAACCACAAACAAAACCAACTTGAATCCTAAGTCGATTTGGCAACTAATAATTTTCCCACTTGAAGACATTTTCATGCCCCACCTTTTTTATTGCAGTTCTAAATTAGTATTATCTTTCAAATGCCGTTGAAATTTAACCTTTTCATTTTTTGGGGCCTGCAAATGGGACATAGTACCTTTAATGTTTTTGTGCGTCACCTATTTAAATGTGCCATCATTAAAACGATATTATCATATAACGATCTTAAGATAATTCTTATAGGCAGTACAGGAGGATATATAGACACTGCCCTTGTGTTAATTTCTGTAAATCCGGTATATTCGGCATTTCAAGTGCTATTTCATCAATTAAATTTAACTAACATTCATTTCCTTCAGAAAATGAACACGTTATGAAATATGTTTTTACAATGTAGGAGGGGACGAAATTAGCTAAAAGTACAGACCTGTGGTAAAGTAGCCATAACAAAACAGACATAGTATACATGTGAAGTATATAATAATCCTATCTACATAGAATACTTATACAAACCAAGAGATAGAGAGAAGGGGAAAAACAATACTGACACTTTTTTTTAAACAACAGTTATTATAATATGTGCTACGAATTGTATTGACTTTGTAAGGAAATTATATTCTTCATAGTTCGAGTGAATGTATCTTAACAGAATTATTTAAATTGTTCCAGAGTTTGGAACCAATAAAACGAATACTTTGTTAAAATGAGACTGTTCTGTCAACCAGTATTGCCCAATCACAACATATGGGTCCACTTAGTCAGGTAGATATTTTTCTTTTAACAGGTCTATTGAATAAGAAACAAATGTGTATATCAGTGTATATGTGAGGAAAATACCCTTCTTCTTATATATATGCTGGATGCATATCGTGAATACTCTCACAACTTCCTTTCTTATTTATTCCACTACACTATTATTAACATGAAAGTTAGTGGAGTAAATTACCCGATTATGAGGATGTTAATGTGCCCAACTATTGGGCAATTAATTTATATTATATACCTCACTTAAGAAATCCAGCCATCTGAATGGTCGAAATTGCATTCATAAACTTAAACTAATCCTATAAAATTCACGGTAAAATACCAAACCCATGTAATAGTTCTAAAATAATAGTTCTAAAATCCCGGCAAAATACCAGTTACCATGGTTACCGGGGAAATAGTTCAGTCTTGGTGAAATACCCATAGGTTCACATGTTAAAAACTGGTTTGAGCGATCGAGGATACCGTACGTGTGCGAAGAATTGGTCGGTAATTTCAAACCGAAGGCAAAAATGGCTGAAGAAACTCTCCCAAGATTTCAACTTCTTGATGATGATCAAATGCAAGACTTGCTGACAGCAAGGACATGCTAGACAGAGCACCAACAAGGGTACGTTAAATTCTCCATAATTTGTTTTCAAAAGTCTAGGCCTAGATTCTAGTAAGTAGGTCTAGTAGTGCTAAAATCCTTCCCGTAGAGATTGCACGGAATTCAGATTACACACATCTCTATGCATTAGCATTGCACACTGGCATTTCAAACTAATATTGCTCGTGATTCTGAAGGTGATACTCAATAAGTGAGGTGTCATATGAAAGCGCATGTTCTTCTCCATATTCCCCACAGGGCCGGCCCACCCCCAAAATTGTAAAAATATCTTGCTTAGACTAGAATCTAGATCTAGTCTACTCTCAAAGATACACTCATAAAAAAACAACCGTGCAGATAAACTAGAGAAAGGCCAAGGTGGTGTCATAAGTTGACTCTTTTGTATTCGGCATATAAAAGTATTAATGACTGCTTTAATATTCGAGAAAAAGTTGTTTTTATACGCTCTCGGGAAGGTTACAATAAGGCTATTGCCCTCGGCACGCCTCGGGCAATAGCACAATTCTAACCTTCCCTTGAGCGTATAAAAAAAACTATTTCTCTCAAAGCAGTCATTAATACTATAATAATAATAATAGTAACAGTTATATATAGCACTTACTATCAATGCTTCTATATGTGCTGCATTAATCATTGCCCCGTTAACGTATTAACTGCACAATATTTTGAGAGAATGTAGACATGTCTGAGTTCTGGTAAATGTGAAAATACCTTTTTTTTCTCCAGTATTTTTTGTCTGCATTTTCTTTTATATTTAAAGATAAAGTTGAGTTCTGGTCATGTGATTGCATTGTGAAAGAAACGTTGTGGAATCGTTCAGAAAACGGTTGCTCATCTTTGCATAAAAGTATTGGTGTGTACTGCAAGGCTCTGGAATCATCAAAATGTTAAGAAATTTGGCCCAGTCTTGGTAAATTACCAGCACTGTACACACAAATATGGGACTACACGAATATGTGGCATAAGAATCCGTCCAGATTGTTATGATGTTACATGCCATATATTAGGTATTTGATGAGCCATGCTTTTCAGGGAACATTTTTTTATCTGATGTTCTTCCACACTTGCATAATACAATGATAACGCTTACAAATTATTTGTCACCTCTTCCCAGAACTCAACCTTCTCTTCAAGAGTATCATACAATGATAAAAAAATGCTTGGCAGTCAAAAGTATATCTTAAGATATTGTTTAAACATTTGGACCAAATTTTGCTCAAACTGTATGTGTGTAGTGCCACTTACTCATATCTATGTGCGGTTCTTCCAATGTGTCAGTATCCTGAGAAGCTTCAAATCCCCTACTTCTCTTTGTACATGTATCTTTATTCTAATTGGATTCAATCTTATTTTGTTCTTACAGTATCTTTTGCTCTTGTTTTAATGCCATTTAAATCTCGTTATGGCTTTGTACAAATTGTATTATTGTTATTATTATCATTATAATTATTAGTAGTATTATCAATACTATTATTAGTACTATTATTATTATTATTAGGATTCCGAAACCTTATTCCGTAGGTCGATGCTCATACATATCAGATAGTATACGTACTACAAAACGAAAGTTTCTTAATAATTCCGAGACAGCTTCAATCACAAATTAATCGCACCGCCTGTAAGCCTACTTAATTTATCTTCAATCTTTATCTATAGGCTTGATGAGACAAAAATATTTGAGCTACTTTTAGCAATGACTATCTTCTTCACGTACGTTAGTGGTCCAATGTCCAGGATCCGTACACATTTTGAATATTTGAATTTGGTACAAAACAAAACTTATCAACAACACGATTGACCTTTGAGCGACCGTTAAGTGTTTATTCTACGTGAATGATTCGAACCCATTTGAATAGATTTATATCAGGCTAAAGTCAACAGTACCACTTAGATTTATATCGATACGAAAAGTGTCTTCAATATGGATAGAAATTAAAACATAAATTTCACCACTCCTGCTCTCTTCTTTCCCTGCACGTGCTCCTACATTTATTCCAGCGACAATTGCTCAAAGCTTTATTTCGTCAAAAGTCAAGGGTCAGCGTTAGAGTGCAATTGGGTTTTAAAGGTACTATGTCCCATTTGCAGCCAACATCAAATTCTGTACAAGTTTGCAGGAATTATGAATATGTCACGCATGTCCTATCTGTATAATTTAAACGTTAGCAGTGTCCTACTACTCACATTTTGCAAGGAAACCCGTTTACTTTTAAGACTTTACTGTCGGACACAATTTAGTGACTGACTTCATTTTTTATGTGGTAATAACATACTTAAAATGAGCTGTGAAGGGGACATAAGCATTTGTTTACACCAATAACCCACTTATAGTAAAGGCCAGAATTAAACTGATTGAATCTTTGCGCATCACAAGACGTTCACCACTCGCTACAAGGGTCTGAAAATCAGACTGTTCACTAAAGGATTGCAATCCTTAAAGTAGATTCGTCATTTTCCCACAAAAAAAGACATTTCAAAGCCATTTTGTTTTGAAGGAACTTCTAAATGTGTATTATCTTTCAAATGCCGTTGGAATTGAACCTTTTAATTTTTTTAATTTTTTAATTTTTTTTATTATTATTATTATTTTATTTTTTTAATTTTTTTAATATTTATTTTCTATTTTTATTGATTTATTTATTTTTAATTTTTTTTTTATTGAGGGGGGGGGGGCTGCAAATGGGACATAGGGCATAGTACCTGTAAGTGAGGGTCAAGGTTAGCGTTAGGTATAGCGTTTGCTCCAGGGTTGACGTTATGAATACGGTTGACTTAGGAATTTAACGCGGATCAATTGTTGCGGGATAAAATGTCGTACAACCACTAGGTAATTTTGAGGGGTTTTGTTTGCCTGTGGTCATACAGTGGATTAGGGAGTTAGGGTAGCCTTCCGTGTTCCTTATTATTATATTCATATGGAATTCCTTAGCTTTTTCTGCTCGATAAAAGCGTAACAAACGGGGACTTTAAAGCAAAATTTGAGCTCTGGCAGAGGTGAAAGTAATCGCCCTGTATTAATCTATGGGAATAAGATAAGTGTGGACTCGTGTAGGACGCTTTTTGCGTTTCCTTATTTCATAAAATAAGAAATAATCGTTAGTCATTTCTTTTTTCTTCCTCGCTAGTATACCCTTATGGCACCGGCAATGCTGATACTGCACTCAGCAAACAGAATGACTTTGCACTACGCGTAACATTGGACAGAGCTTTTCCTTTCGGTGGGAAATACCACAGCACATTATATGTAAGTATACCTACTTAAGATTACGACATTTTAACACGTTTTTCTTCCTGTTTGGCCATTGCTCGCCCTCCCCCACTATGGTGCCTGTGGAGTGGACCTGTCAGTTGGCAGCCTCCGAATTAAGCCCCTTTCACACCGGATCTGCGTAGAGTTGCGTAGTGTTGCGTACCGACTACGCCGAAGATAAGCTGCGTACTCATGAATAAATTGATGCTTCGGCGTAGTCCCTGCGTAGGTTATGCGTAGGCTTGCGTACGATCGGCGTATAGTTACGTACCCTGTGCGTAGGCACCGCGTACCTTCGGCAATTGGCGTAGGGTTACGTACGGTTGCGTAGGCCTGGCGTAGGGTTGCTTACGGTTGCGTAGGCCTGGCGTAGGGTTGCTTACGGTTGCGTACGGTTGCTTACTGTGGGAGAAAATGCCATGTAAAAATGCAATAGACGCTCGTAGGAGCCGCGAGTATAGCCATTGGCGCTTTATAAACATATATAATAAACAAATATGTTAAAAAACAGTTCAATTTATTGTATAAATAAACTGTGCAGTGTACAAAGAATTGTACATGTTATTACATGTGAACATAACTTGATCTTAGTATAATAATAATATTCTGACAAACTGTGACATCCAAGGGGCAGTGGGTCTCTTTTGCATGCGTGAAATAGGGCTGAAACGCCAATTTGCGTAAAATAGTGAGTGCAGAAAATAACATTTATAAACCTGCCATAAGTTTTAATAGTAAAAAGTGGCATTCGGTACACGTTTTTGACCGTTAAATTTTCAGTTTTTTTAGTAGGTATTAGCAACTGCTGAGGTTATTTTGCAGTAATGTTAATTTGTTCAAGATTTTATTTTCCAAAAAATGCAGACATTTTTGTTGATGTACTACATTATTGTACTATGTATCATTCAAAAGGGTAATATATGAACTTTCTTTTGATGAACATTGCAAGGTCACGTGATGTGATTTGATACCTCAAAACGCCAACAAAAGAGAGCACTTATTTTGATTTGTGAATAAATGTGGACAGCAGTCTGATATTTGTTGACCATATCTCTTTTTTCACTCATTTGTGAAATATCATTCCATAACAGTTTCCTGAAAGTTTGAAGACGATATCCGTTGTCCTTGGTCCGTAGCGTATTTGTGTGTGACAATGTAATGATATAAATGTTAGTCATTTATTAAAATTAAAGAAATAATTCTGACATACACACTCACTCAGTCTCACTAACAGAGTGAGAAAAAATTATTTCTTTGCTCATTTCAATTAAACAAATTATATTACAAACATACAAACAGGACCACAAACGTACACACAATCAAACAAACCGACACAAATACATACAGATTTCCACAAAACATAACAAAATTTTATCAATTATCACAAATTGAATAAACCATAACAAAACAAAAAATGTCAGTCTGAAATACCTTGTAGTAGTACAAACAGAATAACAAGCAAGAATGATCAATGATCAATATATGCCAAGTTTACATCCAGGTCCTAAAAAAAATCTTTATACCATACGTTTTTAATGCTTCGTCGGACTGGCGTAGGGTAGCGTATTGTTGCGTAGGCTTGGCGTACATTTGCGTAGGCTTGGCGTACAGTTGCGTAGGCTTGGCGTACAGTTGCGTAGTAAAGTCTACGCCGAAGGTACGCGAAAAAAACTAAACATGTTTAATTTTTTGCGTTCATCTCGCGTACCCATTCGCGTCCCTCCGCGTACAGTTGCGTAGGGTTGCGTACGATCGGCGTAGGGTTGCGTACGATCGGCGTAGTCGCTACGCAACTCTATGCAACTCTACGCAACTCTACGCAAGGCCCGGTGTGAAAGCCCCTTTAGCCTTCAGTGAAGGCCTCGTGTCTGATAATGATATCTGACGCCGAGCGACTAATAAGAGACTAATCGCGAAAACCCGAGTGAACGCCAGAGCGAGTGGCGTCAACCAAGAGGACTTAAGTAATCTGGTTTAGATTTCTTGTGTTAAGTTTTGTTTCCGACTGGGGTTCTCTGCCGAAATGGTAGCGTCCAATCAGTGAACGTATCACCACGTGATGTTAGCATATATTATCCATCACGCACACAGTAAACTCTACGTAGTACGAATGACATAAGGACTAAAACCACTGACCTCTACATAGAACGAAAACGAGTTGGATTGGTTCATTTTTTATGTAGGGAAAGTCCAAGTATCTCACTTTCAATTGTTTGCTCAAGTCATCTAATGCTTCCTATATTTTTGTAATTTGCCTGTAAAATAGATTTGAATGTGATATTTTGTATTTACCATTGATATGCTCATCTCATCAGCAAAACTTTTTTACGTCTTTTACATTTGCCTACATGTTTTGATAGTGAACGAATCACGAACGAAGCCAACTGGGAGATGGCCGTTCTGATTGGTCAATAAATCCAACGTTATGAATAAATTCATGCAGAGCAGTAAAAGGCAGCGTCCAAAAGTCCTCGCGGCTATACGCCACTTGATCGCGCGTTCACCCCGGGTCTCTAGATCTCTCTTCTTCGCCGGCTAGACTCATCTCAACCGCTGACTGGGGTGGAAAATAGCCAGAGTCACGAGGCCTTGTCAAAAGGCTACCTCCGAATTAGACCCCACCCCTCTTCTCTGTTAAGAGCTTATTATTGAAATGAACTTGTAACCAGAGTGGAAGTTTCCTTTACCTCCGACCCCCCCCCCCCCCCCCCCCCAAGCTCAAATGCTATGTACATTTTGATATTTCAAGGAGCAAAATTGTCCCATGGATTAAAGTTCACACTGTCTCAGGAGATCCCATGATTTGCCAGATCACCATGACAACAGCTTGCATCAAACGTGCACAATCACATTCGTAATTCAACAATACTTGTTTACTAATCGGATATCAAATGACCACATTCCTTGGTCGTAATTAGTGGATACGGAAAAATTACATGCACCTCATTATTGCCACTGTAGCCAATAATGAATACATAATTATTTTCTTACCTCTTTTCATGAAATGATTGTGACAATATTATTTATTCTTGATTAATAAACTTCTCAGCACGTTATTGATCAATATTCTTTGACTATTAAGAATGAGAAATAAAATCTGAAAAGATATAACATTTATCTTAAACAATGAATCACGTTGTCACAATCGCATTATGAAAAGAGTAACAAAAGTGATTCCAACTTTATGGTCAATAGTCTATCAGTTAATTGTCTTATTGTTTGTATTATATATTACATAATATCATACTGTTTATCAAAAAATTGAGACTTTCAATAACACCATGTGGTAGCCTTACAGAAAAGGCTACTGATATATTCCCTCGCAAAAAGAAACCGCTTATGGGGTTATAGGCTAAACAGGAATACTGGGAGAAGTATATAGGAAATGGACGGATAGGAAGAGATGATAATGGAATGAAATTTTACTAAACACTTTCACGATACTATTTTTGATACAGAAAACTTTCATTGGTTGGGGGTAATAATAACATGTATGGGCACCACAGCGGATAAGATGATGCCCATACTATTGATTTTGAAACACACTTCTGATCATGAAAGGTGAAATAATCCATATGGATAAAAAGGAATAATCCTTCCCTGCATGGGAACTCTGGCTATTCAATATCGTCACCTATCTTTGCTCCAGTGATCTCAAGGCAGCAGACAGCAAGAAACTGTGTAAATAATCGCTTGGCTTCAGAAAGTCCACAAGGGTGGATGAAAGCCCGACTAATAAATTTGGAGGTTGGTAGAAGCAAAGAGATATCATTGCTGGTATCTCCCTGGTACAGGCTTACAATTTTCATGAAACTATTTCTTTTTGTTTTTTCTTTATATTCAGATAGGTGACAATGGAGTTATTTCTTTCGATGAAGAAGTTTCCGCAGAATCGGATTCAGCCAGACACAGAATGATACCTTATTACTACGACGTTGTAAGTAGATCTTCAACTGTTATGCATGTCTATTAAAAACGTTGAAATTGAAATTAAAAGCTTTTGAAATCAATATTTGTATATTAACGCGACGGAGGAATTTCAAAATTAAAATATTTGTTTATGTATGTATATATCTATATATATTTATATGTAACTAAAATGATAATAATGATAATCAAAACAGTTGAAATAAAAAATACTTAACAGTTACATCTTTCAATTTATTTCGTCAGATATTGAATTGAAAAGCCATTTTTTGCTTTAAAAAAACCCTCTTGATATGGAATAAATATATTATCCTTTGTCACTTTCGATTTTGTAATACCTCACCTGGCCCAAATACAACCCCACCCACACTCGCACACACAGACACACCATACTGGAAAACAACCTCCGCCATGAAGCGGGGAGCGGGGGGGGGGGGGGTCGTCTCACATTTCAAGGTGTTTTTTTTTGGTCCAAACAACTCTCTGACAATCAAATAAATAAGAAAAAAATTCTACTTTCCCCCCAATTTGTTGACAAATCTCGACAAATACATACACAAAATATACCGGGCCTATAAATGAATACAACATTCTACTAAGTTCACGTGTATTGTTAAAGCGTGCCTCTTAATCTCTGACAAGTATAGACAACAAATTATAAACTAGAGAAAACGTTTACCAATTTTTCCTTAAAAAGGACGGCGACGGAAGAATTGAGGACCCAGATACAATCTTTGCATTTTGGGCTGATGTGGATATTACAGGTGACGGAGGTAACGTATATTACCGCGTAACAACCAGCACTACAACACTCAACCAAGCGACTGCAGACGTCCAAACTTATTTCCGGAGCAATGTCGACTTTAGAGCTCAAGTCGTCATTGTGGTCACGTGGGACCAGGTCTCGTTCTTCGATCAAACAGGTACCTCGGATCCAGTAAGTTTCATTTCCATTTTTTAAAATAATAAATCTATTTACTTAATGTATTTATTAATCTACTTATTTATTCATTCATTTGGTATCAATTCATGTTTATTTAATTATCTATCTATTTACCAATTTAAGTTATGAATTAATTAATCCATTTTTGTGTATATATTTATTCATGTATTAATTAATTAATTAATATTTTTTTTTTTTTGGCGTGCCAGTCCAAAATCAATTTTTAAGGGCGCACTATTTCCGACAATTTGCGAGGAATGATTTTACCCAGAATGCTCTTTCCTGTAGGTTACTGGTTTAAGATTTGTTTTTTCAACTTTTTCATACTGCCCTGTTTTATTCCTCAGATAAAGACATTTCAGGAGATTGAATCTAATATTTGTTTTGCTCCCTCTTCTAAAACCACTTTGAAAGATTCAATGATCAAGTGTACAAATTATTCATCGAACGTTTATGTATTAACAATGTTCACATACCCAATAATGCAACAAAATGTAATGCTTTTGAAAATGTAATCTCTTTATGTAAATAATAATGGTACTCAGCAATTCAGTCTTTTGACTGCTAATGTGAATGATTTTTATTTCGAACTTTTGTTGTGTTTACTCGAATAAATCATTCATTAAATCTCTCAATCTATAGCTCACACTTTCTCTTCTCCCTATCTCGTTCTACCCCTAAAGCGAAATACATTTCAGGCGGTCCTTATTCACGACGGGCAGGAATCTTTCGTCCTGCTTAACTATGGATCTATCACTTGGGTCGTTGGGACAAGGATGGATGGAGATCCCAATACTGGTCTCTACACTTATACACAACTTGGCATTGCAATCGTAAGTAGGCGCTACTAGACGCACTTTTGACTGGAGCATGGTTAAAGCAATTGTTCCCAGGTTATGTCGAAGTTATGCTGGGCCCCGAGACGAAGTCTGTCATTAGGTTTTAATATGTAGAGGAAAAGAAAAGGCAATCAAATAGTGCATGTACATGATGGAGATAACTAGATTTGATTTATATCCGTTTCAATATAAGCATATTCAACATTCAATAATTGCTTTAAGACAATGTCATGCGTGTGTTTGTAAAAAAAAAAATGAAAAAGAAATATCGAAGAAGTGAAATTGATGACCTTTAATGGTGGTTCATTCACTTGACTTTCAAACCTGGGGCTGAGGGTTCGAGTCCTAGCCCGGCACTAACGGCTTCGTAAAATCAAGATATCGATAAATATTTACCACTCTACACCAAAGTAAAGTCAACCTAAGGCCATTTCAATGGCACTGTACAACACATTTTGACAGGTGCGAATATTACAATGACATACTATGTAATCCTAACATAATTTCTGTGAGACATACAAAAGAGTATTCCAACTGAACTTGAGTTCGTTTTTTCAAAAGTAGTTGCGATCGTCATGGGTACCTGGCAAGTGCTGGGGTAATAATGACTGCAGAACCCTCAATAAGAACTAGACCCTGTTTCATAAAACTTGTCCTCAATAACGAATGCTCGATTTCTATGACAAATTTGCTCTCAACCAAGTAAAAGTCACGATTTGAGTAGCTTACAACAGTCATTGTAACTTGTTATTGATAAGAAGACGTTATATGAAACAGGGCCCAGGTTGATCCTGAAGGGGCTTCTCTGGGAAAACAAAAGTAGTATTATATGTACTGCGAACTGACTTTTTCGGTTTCTTCAATAGGTTGGTTTTCTAATGGGTGACGGTACGATTGTAAAAAACTTCGCCTACGAACAAGATACACTGCGGTCATTGAGTGCAGACAGCAACGTCGACGTTAACGGAGTGTATGCCTACAAGGTTGACGGTTCTTCGGTTATCGATCCGGTCTGCAAAACTGGACCTGGAGCAGGTAAACCAATGAAGAGATACTACTAGTATTACCTGTGGTACCAATACTACTACTACTACAAATATTACTACTACTTTACTACTACTACTACTACTACTACTACTACTACTCATATGAACAAATTTCGGGCATCTGCTCACGCGGTCTCGCTCCGCGGTCTACAATACGTGAAATCGGCTTTGAAAATGCGCTAAGTATGCAAAGAAATGCTCCTACAAGGAAAACAAACTTTGAATTCACACCAACTCGGGTGGAAATCACATATTCAAATACTGTTCTTTCCATTGATACCAATTTCGAACTGATTAGTAGACTGGAAATTAGGGCCTTTTCGTCTTCAATAATGGACAACAATCATTCAAGTTGTGATTTCTCTATGGAGGTCACAGGAAAATTCGCCTTTTTCACTGGGGTTGTGTACTTCAACGAGATAATGCTCGTAACTGCGACTTGTTATTGGGCCAACTCGGGCGCCAAAACAGAGGATATGTAATCCTCTATCGTCTGATGTAACACATAATTTGATTGGTTGTCGAGAAAGTAGGGCCAATTTCAATCCAATCAAAAATAGCGTTTACAAACTAACACATCGACCTCTATAATATATGCAAGTGCGTAAGCGAAGTTTTTACACAGCGGACAATGAGGCTTACACACCGTGCTCGCAGCCGTGCGTATTTCTACCACCAAATTTGACTCGGCTCCGGCGATGGAAAAGACACCTTTTACGTTGATTTCAGCAATTTAATGAAGGGAATTTAGATATTATGGACGATCTTTTACAAAACAGGTGTGTAGGGATTAGATTATATCTCTCACGAGACACTAGACTCTTTAATTTTCCTGAAATTTAGCAAATTAATGGCACTCAGAACTCACTGCATGAGCAGATCTAAATATTCATGGTCGATCTGCTAGTGAAGGAATCGCGTATTCATATTGCAGGGTGATCCCGCCCATCTTAGACGGAGGGATGAAAATGGACTTATGCATTGTGATGTGCATCTGTATCTACCAGACATACATATATATTTTCCTGATTTGTTTTCCTTTTTGGGGGAGAAGAAGAGGGGAGAGAGAAACAGAGAGAAAGAGAGGGAGAGTGTTGACAAGTCACGCACGCACAGCGGTGTTGACATTCACACTCTCACCAGTTTTATACGATAAACCCCTATTTCATAACAATCGACGAGTCCGGTACCTTGGTGTTACGCTCTAGTGCACTCGAACGTTCGTCGTCTGTGTGGAGGTACACAAAATGACTCATTGATCTTTTGGCCGAATGTGGGTCAAATTTGTTCATATAGGCTGCTTCTATTACTACTACTACTACTACTACTACTATTACACTAATACTAATTCTACTACTACTACTACTACTACTACTACTACTACTACTACTACTACTACTACTTATACTACTACTACTACTGCTGCTGCTACTGTTGTTATTATTACAAAAACAAAAAAACAAAGAAAATGCAATACATTTTCAATAATTCATTGCATTCCCCCCCTGTCCCCAACAGGAAAAATTCTTCTGTAGGAGCATGCATTATGGTTCAAGGCATGCCCACATAGAAGATTTTGTGTATGTTGGGGGTCGGGGCAAAATGCAATGAATTATTGAAAATTTATTGCATTATCTTTGTTTTTTTGTTTTTGTGGGGGCGTCGACGTACCCTAGCGCCCGCTGCGTACAGTCATGATTCATTGGTTAAGCAATGGCCTTGTTACTGTGAGCCCCCAAACACTCCCGAATTGTCATTCAATAAAATATGAAAATGTATACTATTATCTAGATCTATTAGGAATAAATCATTCAATAAATTGGGGTACAAAATAATTATTCCACCATTATGACCAGCTGGTACAATGGACTACGCTTTTTCTTTTATATTCTACTTGCTATTACTAGGGTGATCACACTGTGCACACAGTCTGCCCCATGCACATACACACCCACAACAGCAGTCAGTTGGTAGAAATAGCAATCTTCGTAAATTTATTTTTAAAAACTGAACAATATTTTCAAATGTTTATTTCACATATCTTTCAAGCATACCTTTAACTACAATTCGTTAAATACAGTATGTTAAATTATTAATTAGAATATTGTCTTTTCAGCCATGTGTTATTCTGCGTGGGGAAAATGCACTTCAATGTGTAAAACTCCCCTACAAAAATGCAATTTCCTCATGTGTTTCACTCATTAAATCAATTTGTTGTTTACACTAAAGGTAGCCATAACTGTACTTAGGTCACCAAATTTTGTTTTTCTCTGAAATTCAGACCCTGTGGAATGTTATGGCCTGTTAAATTGAATGGTCTCTCGGAAAATCGTCATTAATCCTCAAATCTGACATTTTTTAAAAAGAAACTATACCGTGATGTAGCTGAAAGTCTGCAGATTCTTATCATTTGTTCGGTTTTTCCTGAATAATTTGTGAAACATATGAGGAAATAGCTGTAACGGTGATCCAAGTAATTTCCATCGCCATATTTTATTGGCATTGCAAAAATATTTGGAATTTAATGTTAATATTGGCTAAATATGATCTTTAAATATATGATTTTAAAAAATGTCAACAAAATGAACAGTTTGACTTTCCTATATATATATATGTATATATATATATAATTAGCTGAAATGACCTAATTTGCATATTTGATGAATATTCATAATTTTGTTCTTCTTCTTCAAAACAAATATTTCCATACCTATCTGATATACATAGGTTTCATCGATGTATCATGTTCGCTTTTTTATTTGATTACATATGCGCATATTAATTAGACGGACTTAGTTATTTACACAACTTTTTCATATCTGCAGATTCGCAAAAATGGCAAAAATGACTTATTTTGTTTGCTTCTGTTTTCAAAACGGTAATAGATATATGAATTTTCTTTTTTGTATTTTTTACCACAAAGATGATATTTTAGTTTCTGATAATTGAATTTATTATTTGTGTCCAAGAAAGTGATGAATTAAGTTGTCAGCTTTGTCGAATTTTGCCATTTTTGCCAATTTGACCATTTCTGGCAGGTTTTTCGGTAATTTTGCGATATCCAAAAAATGGTATAAAATCACAACGCATTGACCGATTTCAATTCTGTTTTTTGTTTTTTGAAGCTTTCATAAAGCTTGATCATCTGAAATCATCAAATAACATGTGTATGTTGTACTTATTTTTGGTGTGCTATACCTAGTTTTTTTTCTCTATTGCTATTGCTAATGATTGACCTTCCTTCTTCCTATCATTATTTTTGCGTATATGTAAACCCATAATTTTACAATATGCGGAGTGAACTTTAAAAAAGATGAAATTAACGTAGCAATTAAACGTAGTTCTTGCTGGTTTGACCTGTTTATCAACAAAATACAATCAAAATTAACATAACATTCTTTGTACGTTAAACCCTGGAAAGTACTATTAACCTTTGGTTTGTTTTGTTTTTTTTTATTTAAAAAAGGGTCAGCTAGTAGTTTGTAAAATTAGTGTAAACCCTTGACAGTTTAAGAATAAATGAGCAATGCTCAGTAATCAAAACTAATAACAAAACACAAATAAAGCACTGAACAGTATTGTTTCAATCCTGCACTAATCTCTGGAAGAAAGTAAGTAACCATGGTAACCATGGAGCTCTTATGGGCCTTGTATTTCCTTATGGGCCTTGTATTTCATCATTTTGAATTTTTTTACTAAATTTCCCTTGGATTAAAGTGCATTGATTCATATCTCGACGTGAACGAAATATAAAAATCTGTTTGATTAATATGAGTAGGCTATACATGTACAAATATAGCATTGTTAAGATGATGCAAAATTAAAAATTATCGATGAGAAGCTGTGCATTAAGGAATCTAACCATGGAAAATGTGATGTGAATAATATTCATACGATATATATGACGTATGATACCCTGACTTTGCAGTTGCAAATAGAAATTGTACTGGGGAAAATAGGACGATCATGACATTTGTATGTAACTTGTAAAGGATATTCATGTAGTATGGTATGACCAAATTATTATCGTAAGTATTAGAACAAAATATTTAAGACCTGAAAATGAAAATACTTTTTATTTCCCTCACAAAGTGACTGGCCTTGTTTGTGGTCAAACAACCATCGGTAAGTAGAAATGATATCCCTTATTTATCTATATACATGCGCTTACCTCCATATTAAAATGTTTCTAACGAAACTAGGTTTCTGGTTGATATTGCTTGTTATTAGAATTAAAGTATTATTCCTGGATTTCCGAGAAAAAATAGTTTAGGCCTCAATTTTTCACTATCAAGTCATTATAGTTTATAATTTCTAAACTCTTAGACCTAGCTTCAAATATTCAATTTCTTATCATGATAACACTGCATTCTGTTCTAAAATGTTATCTTCATTAATTCGGCGTGTATAGATTTATATACTATGTTTCAGTCTTAGAAGTAGATACTGATGAACCTACTTCTACATTTAAAGAAAAAAAATCGTTATCATTCATATACCCTCCCCCCCCCCGCATGAATAATGTGTTGCTTTCAAACCTCAAGCATCCTCCCACCCCACCCCCCCCCCCCCCGGGTAGAAATTCTGTACCACAATGTTGTATGAAAAGTAACAATATTCGGACAACTGAAACCTCATCTACGGGCAGCTATGAGTTCTTCTCCTTATGCCCCACTTCATCTCGTATATTTATATGAGAACATTATGTAAACAGATGGGTGCGCAATCCCCAGAGCGAAAGATGTTTTAGTCAAAGCGTCAAAACTGCCTACAAATATACAGGGTTGGTATTAACGACTCTCAGCAAAAAAAAAGTTTGTACGTTTCACAGGGGAAAAATACCAGGATCGCACCGACCTTGCAATGAAATCTCCTCGCCTCCACTCCAAATTATACTTTAAGTAATAAACGTAATACAATAAATCACTGAATACATAATACAAATATGATATTTTTATAAGAAAAGGAGTGCTGCGTAGGTTGATGGAAATTTGAGAAGCAAGAAATGAGTTATGAAAATGAAATTACATTTTATCGTAAGAAGTAAGATATGAGAGCACAATAGAGAGCAATGCTTTACATGAGATATTTTTAATTCGATTATCTTTATCTTTATCTTTATCAATAGGTGATCAAACTGAAGTCACCGTCACAGGTTAGTGTATACCGTAAACATAAGATGTTATACATGTTAATTGTTCCAAACTGACAAAAAAATAGACGCACAAATACTAGTAATAGAGCGCTTTCGCAAACACAACGGAAGGCAAAGACGACGGTGAGGCGAGCGAAAAACAAATAATCCGTGCAAGCGCGAACCAGAATTATTTCCATCTTGTTTGATTTTCTCGGACGTTCTCGACCTTTCTCGGCCAAAATAAACACGACAGAAGAGCTGTATCGCCGTGTAATCGCGATATAGATATCGTACATAGCAACTGTACTTTATGCTCGACTATCCAATGTTGACATATTAATTATTATCTACGCTATTTCTGGCACGTACACAACTGAACATAAAGGTCCCCATCCCCGGTGCCGAAACAGCTTTAGAAGTAGTTTAGAAGAAGTTTAGAAGTTTAGAAGTTTATTCATTCCACATTTTACACTAAAAAAACAGTTTTATTTATTCTTTTTTTATTTTTTATACTGTTTATACGTATATTATATAAGAGTAGATTTCACACAAGAATTTTTTTTTTTTAACAAAAGATTTCAAATCAATTACACTGTCGCTCATTAAGTTGGAATATTTTTGTTTATATCCCTTTTATGAATATTCATGAGTTTTCTAAATACATGATTGGGCATCTGGTGGTCACGTGATAAAATATAATTTCACTATTTGAAACAAATCTCTGCCAGAGCTCCGAATATTTTCCATTATTTTTTCATGGGCAGAATTGCGCATGCTCCATGAGATTTTCAGGTAGAAAAGCATTGCGACATCACATCATGTTCAGTAAAAAATAATGCGCAATCTGCGCGTCTCATTAAATGCGCGTTAATATAACTGTGCGCAGCTTAAATTGACAAATTAAAACTGATTGTAAACTTCTCCAATACCTGGCCCAATGTGGGTTATATAAGTATAAAGTTAAAAACCATATGCCATCCATTCATTAAGTCAGACGTTCGGAGCGTAACGAAGTGATATAAAACAAATATACCAAGCATTTAGTTCGTAAGAATAGTGGAAATTATATATCTTCGGAGGGACTGGCAATAGTTACTATTTTTTCCTCGGGGCTTCGCCCCTCGGAAAAAATAGTACTAAGCCAGTCCCTCCTCAGATAAATAATTTCCACTATTCTTTCTCACAGCTTCGTATATTTGTATATTAACCCCAATTTATGGAATTATTTTTAAAATAATTTAAAAAATAATAGATCTAGATAATAGTATACATTCTCAGATTTTATTGAATAATAATTTGACAATGTGTGTTTTGCGTGACTGCTAAAGCATGTGTATGCTACTATGCTTATCAAATAGGGGACCTATGCCCTTAAGTCATTAATGACAGTAATGAGGATTAATGCCCCACAAAAGGGCACTAATATAGCACATCGACACGGTTTTGATCCTGGGGCCTCACAGTTACGAGGCCATTGCTTTGTCACTGAACCATGACTGTACGCAGCGGGGGCTAGGGTAGGGGGCAGTTTCCGTAAATAAAATAAAACACAGAAAATGCAATAAATTTTCAATTTACCCCGGTCCCCAACATAAAAAAATCCTCTGGACGGCCATGCATTATGGCTCAAGGCAAAACAAGGTTACTAATGAAGACGGGAGCAGAGTACAGGACGATCTCGGTTGAGTGAATTCTTCCATCGTATATCGTATATGGCCCCATACTTTTTTTTGAGACAATAAAACATGTTGTTGTGTTAGTGCATACCGTAAAACAAGCTGTTATATATGTTAATTGTTCCAAAATGACATTGATAACACTGATAATGATGATGATTATGACGATTACGTTGAAAATTCACATCATTTATATGGGCCAATAGTTTTCTTTAAAGACAATCAAACTTCTTTTTCCATCATTTTGTATAAACAGTTGCTCTCATTGCAGACCCAACCATAGATAAGTTTATACCATAAACATAAGCTGTTATACATGTATATATGTTAATCTGTTTCATTGATATTTTCATCAATGTATATTTATATATCAGTGTTCATTTTTTGAATGTCTATATATATTTATATATACAGCGACTATCTATTTATTTTCTTCCTTTTGCAGAAATAGATGCTCCAGCTACAGAAGTTGTCACAGGTAAAAAAAAAAATACCGTAGCCATAATATTAATAATGATGATATTACTTTCAATAATGGTAATAACTATGATATTAATACAAAATAATCTAAAACAATTTCCTTTTGTTTTCATACAGTTTTACGTAATGAAATTTGTTCAGAAAATGAAAGATCGGGAATAAAAGGCTTTTATCTTCTTTAAAAAAAGTATTTAACGGCTAGTGATTTTTTTTAAACATAAATGCTGTGTAAGTCTTCGCAATCTTATTGGAAACATATATGGAACACATGGAATGTCGTGACTGAGTGATTTAAGGCGGGTGACTGGAGATGCGAAGGTCGAGGGTTAAAATCCCGGCACGGCACTAATATCTTTTAGCAAGATTTCAACCTGCACTTGCTACTCTCCATCCAGGTGTTAAATGGGTACCCGGTATAGGATGCGACCGAAATTGCTGGTCAAACAGTTTTTGAGCGTCAAGTAACGCCTGGCTGGAATACTCCCCAGGGAGTGGAGATTGTGCACACAGTGTGTGCAGGCAAGCACTGAATCCAATGACTGGGGTAATAGCATATCTGTAAAAAAGCGAAATATGATAGTATAGTATTAATGACTGCTTTGAGAGAAATAGTTGTTTTTAAACGCTCAAGGGAAGGTTACAATAATATTGTACTATTGCCCGAGGCAACTCAGAGTTTACAGTCTGCAAAAGAGTTTGTGGATTTCTGTGAGAGAAAAATACACTCGAGTTATCTGCAAATAAAATGAATGATAACAAACTGCTTCAGGCGCGCCTGCATGAGACGTTTCTACTACGATATTCTTGATCTAAAATTAACACTAAGATAGATGCCAAAAACTGGTCATGAGCTTAATAACTTACATCAGTAAACATTGTTTTTGTTCAATTTGTATAAACAGCTGCTTCAACTGCAACCCATATCATAGATAGGCGTATGCTGCAAACATAAGCTGTTATACATGTATATGGTAGGTTGTCGAAACTGACATTAATAAGGACCCCCAAACACTGGTAAATGATGACGACGTTGAATGCTCACATTATTTATATGGGCCAATAGTTTTCTTTAAAGACAATCAAACTTCTTTTTCCATCTTTTTGTATAAACAGTTGCTCTCATTGCAGACCCAACCATAGATAAGTTTATACCATAAACATAAGCTGTTATACATGTATATATGTTAATCTGTTTCATTGATATTTGTATCAATGTATATTTATATATCAGTGTTCATTTTTTGAATGTCTATATATATTTATATATACAGCGACTATCTATTTGTTTTCTTTCATTTTGCAGAAATAGATGCTCCAGCTACAGAAGTTGTCACAGGTAAAAAAAAATAACGTAGCCATAATATTAATAATGATGATATTACTTTCAATAATGGTAATAATTATGATATTAATAAAAAATAATCTAAAACAATTTCCTTTTGTTTTTATACAGTTTTACGTAATGAAATTTGTTCAGAAAATGAAAGATCGGGAGGAAAAGGCTTTTATCTTCTTTTAAAAAAGTATTTAACGGCTAGTGATTTTTTTTAAAACATAAATTCTGTGAAAGTCTTCGCAATCTTATTGGAAACATATATGGAACACATGGAATGTCGTGACTGAGTGATTTAAGGCGTGTGACTGGAGATGCGAAGGTCGAGGGTTAAAATCCCGGCACGGCACTAATATCTTTTAGCAAGATTTCAACCTGCACTTGCTACTCTCCATCCAGGTGTTAAATGGGTACCCGGTAGGATGCGACCGAAATTGCTGGCCAAATAGTTTTTGAGCGTCAAGTAACGCCTGGCTGGAATACTCCCCAGGGAGTGGAGATTGTGCACACAGTGTGTGCAGGCAAGCACTGAATCCAATGACTGGGGTAATAGCATATCTGTAAAAAAGCGAAATATAGTTGTTTTTAAACGCTCAAGGGAAGGTTACAATAATATTGTACTATTGCCCGAGGCAACTCAGAGTTTACAGTCTGCAAAAGAGTTTGTGGATTTCTGTGAGAGAAAAATACACTCGAGTTATCTGCAAATAAAATGAATGATAACAAACTGCTTCAGGCGCGCCTGCATGAGACGTTTCTACTACGATAATCTTGATCTAAAATTAACACTAAGATAGATGCCAAAAACTGGTCATGAGCTTAATAACTTACATCAGTAAACATTGTTTTTGTTCAATTTGTATAAACAGCTGCTTCAACTGCAACCCATATCATAGATAGGCGTATACCGCAAACATAAGCTGTTATACATGTATATGGTAGGTTGTCGAAACTGACATTAATAAGGACCCCCAAACACTGGTAAATGATGACGACGTTGAATGCTCACATTATTTATATGGGCTCATACTTTTTTTTAATTAAAAGACAATCAAACATTTTAGTTGTTGTTCATTTTGTAGAAACAGATACTTCCACTACAGGCCTTATCAAATGTTATTGTTTACCATAAAATTAAGCTGTTATATATGATACTTGTTCAAAACTTTCTCTAAGTCTCTAAGCGCTATGACAAGCAAAATAGACTGATAAACAATTACATATTAAACAAACGAAAAGTGCAAATAAATCTACAAATTAAAATACATATGGAATACACATCAAAGTGAACAGAGTTAATTAATCAGCGAAAGCAATTTGAATAAATGTGTCTTGAGAATAGTTATGAATAGGTTAACAGTTTGTATTTTGTTCGGTTTTGTTGTTGCTTCACGAGGGGGAGGGGGGTAGTGAGCACCCCCCCCCCCGAGCCAGGGGTCGTCTTCTTCTTTTTAAGGTAAGATTAACGGTAACATTTTTGTTAATATGTTTTTCTTTTTGCTATTTGGGCCCCTTGCCCCCCCCCCCCCCCCTTCCCCTGGATCCGCCCCTGGGCCCCATACTTTCTTACAAAAACAATCAAACATCTTTTTTGTTCATTTTGTATAAACAGCTGTTCTACCTTCAGACCCCACTACGGGTAAGTTTATACCGTAAACATAAGCTGTTATACATCTGAATTGTTGCAATTTCACATTTAAAAAGACGCACAAACACTGGTAATGATGATGATGACGATGAAGACGATGACGTTCAATGTTCACGTCAGTTAAATGGCCGTATAGTTTTATTAAAAGACAATCAAACATCTTTTCTGTTCATTTGGTAGGAACAGATGATCCAATTGCAGACCCTACAGGAGGTAAGTGTATACCGTAAACTTAAGCTGTTTTATATGTTAATTGATCTCAAACTGACATTAAAACGGACGCCCAAACACTGGTTATGGCGATAATGATGGTGATGCTGATGCTGATGATGATGATGATGATGATGATGAAAAAGATATGGCCCTATAGTTTCTTGGAAAATGTAAACATTGTTTTTGTTCATTTTGTATAAACAGCTGCTCGAACTGAACTCCCCACCACAGGTAAGTGCATACTAAACATAAGCTGTCATATATTTAAGGGTAATTGCTGATAGGTATAAGTGAGCCAACGTCTACGACTACTTATTATCAATCACTCTAGAAATTTGTTCCGAGCAAAAGCCAAAACCAATTATAGAAACAGATGAGACACTTAGGAAGTCTGCTATTAATAACATGATAATCTTTTGAAATACCCTTTTGCTAAACACATATTAGTAATAAACAGTTTGCTATCACAAATTCATAATTTCTTGTTCCGTATTATATTGCAATATTTTCATTCACTCGTCTTTGTGTCGTAGTATAGTGGTTAATGCACTTGAATCTCATAAAAGGGGTTAATGGTTCTAATCCCAGCACGGATATATTGAAATAGCTACCCATGTAGAGTAAATAAGGCCCTATCACTATTTGTTACCATTGTTTTGTGTGCCTTAATTATCTATTTATGTATACATTTATTTAATGATTTATTAATTCATGTATTCACTTATTCTTCATCTATGATTTGTTGTTATCGATTTATTAATTTGTTTATTCATTTATTCATTTATCTTTTTATTTATCTCTCTATTCAAATTCTACTATTTATATATATATATATATATATATATATATATATATATATACGTATATACACAGTTTGTCATAATGGTTGAATTATTAATTTTTACCCCAATTTATGTAATGACTTAAACAAATTATTTATTCCTAATAGATTTAGATAATAGTGTACATTCTCAGATTTTATTGAATAATAATTTGCGAGTGTTTTTTTTGCGTAACTACTAAAGCATGTGTTTGCTATTATTATTGATAACTTATTGCATCTTCTTTTATTTGTGGGGGCTGCCCCCTACCCTAGCCCCCGCTGCGTACAGTCATGATTCAGTGGCAAAGCAATGGCCCCGTAACTGTGAGGCCCCAGGATCGAAACCGTGTCGATGTGCTATATTAGTGCCATTTTGTGAGGCATTAATCCTCATTACTGTCAGTTATGACTTAAGGACGTAGGTCCCCTAGTTGATAAGTATGATAGCACACACATGATTTAGCAGTCATGCAAAACAAAACAGTCGCAAATTATTATTCAATAAAATCTGAGAATGTATGCTATTATCTAGATCTATAAGGAATAAATCACTGTCTAAACCATTCCATAAATTGGGGTAAAAAAAGATTATTCAACCATTATGACCAACAGTGTATAAACATATAATTTTTTGTCCACGTAATTCGACACTGAAGGAATCACCCTGACATGCAACGACACCCAGATGATTGTTGAGATCCCCAAAAGTCTGCTGACGGGGGGTATGGAAGGTTCAAATGTCGGATTCAATGATGACACTAATGGCCAGCAGTGCGTAGGAGAAGAGGATGGGCCGATAATCACACTCACCACCAACCTTAACGCATGCGGAACGGTCATGACGGTAATTTCGTTTGATTGTTTGTTTGCTATTTTGTGTTGCTTGTTTTATTGGTATTTATCTATATATTCGTTTATTTATCCATTCATATATTGACGTATTTATTCCTTTTGTTATCTATTCAATTATTTATTTATTTATTTATTTATTTATTTATTTATTCATTTATTTCCAAATGTTTTTGTTTTTTTGTCAATTTCTTTTTATAAAAATAGATATTATTCTCTTGATTATATAGTTTTTTTTAGGTTACAGCACTCGAAACTCGAAATGTCGATCTCAGAAGCTGCGTCTGGTAGGCTGCCGGTCTCTTGGGCTGTCAGCCTACTTTTTTTTAAAATCTAATAGTTGTTAAATCTCCGTTCTTCTTCTTCTAGGAAGATGACGAAACTGAGACGTACACCAATCACGTCAGCAACCGCTATGATGATGACAGCGGCATTAGTCGCCAATATGCCGTCGAGATTCCGCTTTCATGCTCGTACAATAGAAGTCAGCGCGTCGGATCAATGAAGTACCAGCTCACTGACTACACCATCGACAAGACCCTCGTCGAAGAGGGTGCCTACACCTTCTCCTTCGATATCTACACAGATAATACCTACAAAAAGGTCGACGATACTTACCCTATCAGCATCGGCCTCAATAAGGACCTGTTCTTTGCTGCATCTGTGGACTCTTTAGACGGCACCCTCGACCTTTCGATCCAATCCTGCAGAGCCACACCGGATTCGAAATACGATTCTGATCCCCACTTTGAATTCATCGCTGAAGGGTAGGGAATATTGTTCTTTAAGTAGAAGTCCTCCTTGATATTGGGTTTGCTACAATAACAAGAGGAACAAAAAAGAGAAACATATTCGTGAAGGTCTTAGCAAAATCAGATTAAAAACAAGATTTGTTTTAAATGATTGATAGAACACCGTGACGAATCATATTCTAGGTGGCTCTCCTCAGTGGCATACCAGGCAAACCTCGTCAGAGGGGGGGGGGGGGGGCGATTTGGACGAGCAAGGGGGATGTGTGTAGGGATCTTGTATATATTAATATTTGCGATCGGGCGATTGTATATTTTTGGTCTATTTTGATATAAAAGAAAAAAATCTCATTAAAGAAAATTTTAAATGTATTGAATTTTGACAACATCAGTGGTTAACCTATTACTGGTGATATACTTCTTTTATTCCTCTTTGAAGAAGCTATTGACATATAATGGTCCCAGTTCTGCATATTTGAAGATGTAAAAAAAAAAAAGCATTTGACATTGAATTGATTTTCATTTGTGTCATTTCCACATGCGCAATTAAAACGTCTATTCACTCATTGAAAAGTAAAGTGAGAAATAAAAAGGAAACCGTAAAGTGATATATCACCAGATATAGGATAACTCGCTCAGTGGGGGAATGTCAGGAGGTTGAGGGAAATTAAATTGGAGGAAGATAGGTAGGGAGACCGAGAGATACAGGGGATGATCCAGGGGAAGCTCATGGGTTATAACAGGCCAGAGGCAGTGGAGCGTCGTTCAAAGTGGAAGGGGGAGCACCAACAATAAAGATCACTTTCCGCGAAAATGGGGCACCTACAAAGGGAAACCTCAAAGCGAATATATACAATTTTTTAGGCATTTTTATTTGCCGGGGCCTTGCCCTTGGTTGGTTGGTTTCTATTTCTCTTTAAAATCTTGTTTTCTCAAAAGAAGGGGGCTTGAGCCCCTCCCGCGAGCCCACCGCTCAGTGGGCCAGGGAGAAATCAAAGTGCGCCCAAAGTCTTTTTTGGTGATTTGTCTTTTACTTGCCCAGTTGAAAGATAATACATTGAAGAATACCTCATTAAAATATTAAATTCCGGTATGCACTTCTTCAAACTGCAAAATCTTGAATATTCACATTTTTAGTGCAAAGGTGACTTATTTCATAAATCTTTCAATTTAACATTGAGTGTTTAAGCTATTGATATGACAGTGCTCTCGCATATTCCTGATAGTTCATTTCACTGCATGCATGGGTTGAACATGGAAAGAAACACAATATTCCTAATATATTATAGGGTAATTCACTGAAAATGGACTAATTATCCATGTTTTTTTTATAAATCCAGAGGAATTTCTACTTTAATGTTATTACCATCATTTTTCTGATATCTAAGCTTTAAGTTGATACCAGATTCGGCTGCCATCTTCTGCTTGTTTTTATGTTATAGCTGATTTTCCTTGCCACATTGCACCGAAAAATGTGTTTCTTTTGGTCCGCGGTGTCACGTGCCCCACGCGCCGTAATTTATGACCGCGAATCCTTCATGATTCGGTACGCTAGTGGCTCTCCCATTTGCTCTGTAAGCCTACTCAAAACTAAAACTTTGTTTCCTCACGAAAATTTCAATCACAGGTGATCCTTGGATTTAACATTTGTTTTACGCACCCCCTTGAAACGAATCTGCATATTCCTTCATCAATAACTCAGAAAATTTGAATTTTAGTTACAGTGCAGAGCAGTGGTTTGCAGAATTTCCTGTGCATAGTGTAACGCCATTCTGCGGCCCATTGGCCTTTTAAATCAATATCGAGGCAATGGGCCGTACTGATGAAAATATTATGAATATGATCGTTTTCAAAGCTACAAAATGTCCCTTCTCTAGGCAAGGTCCTTATTGTTCAAGAACATAAAGGTTTAGACAATGTGTGACATTCATTTTGTTTCTTAAATAAGAAGAGGTCGCCATTATAGTTGGTGAATTTATATCCTTTTTTTTTCCTACGTATGATAGCTGTTCTCTGTGGTTTCCCTCTATTTGGAAAAGAGTTGATATAATTAAATCCCAAATATTGCAATCGATTGTATCCTCTAGTTGTTCAATTGACGATGACAATACTAAGATCACCACCCTGGAAGACCATCGCATAGGAGTAGAGATGAAAACTATCCGGTTCATCGACGATGAGGACGATTGGGTAAGTTTGTTTATATTTAAAGTTGTCTAACCTCGTCCTTCAAAACTTATAAGGTTGACAATTCTGAATCATTTATATTATAATAGTTAAGATGATAAAAATGATAATAATTATAACGATAATTACAATAATAATGATGATAATAATAACAACAGTAATAACATTAGAAATATAATACCATGTGAGTCAAAAAAAAGTTAACACCTAGAAAATTGCTAATTATTCTAAAAATCATCTATGAACAGTAAATTACTATACATCTTATAAAAAAGCGTTTTATCCCAAATTGCTTGGTATCATTTTTGTGTGGTATGTGTTCACGCTGCGCCAAAGTGATGCCTACAGTGTGTGCTATGGTGGGGTTAAAGTGAGAAAATGAATTGAATGTATCAAATGAGATGAATTGCATACACACACACGCACGCGCGCACAAATGTTCGTTGATATTTGATATTCGATATTTGATATGTGTGGCATGATGAATTTTGTTAGGGATGTTATTTGGATCTGCAATTACCGATTTAATACCCAAATCCCAATTGTTTTATTCAAATATCACATAAGCAACATTGGCGCGATTTTCACACTCTCGCAAACAATGCCACCTGTTCATCCATGCGTGAACACATACCACACAAAAATGATACCAAATGATTCGGGATAAAACACTCTTTCATTAGATGTATACTAATTAACTGTTCATAGATGATTTTAAAAATAATTAGCAATTTTCTAGGTGTAAACTTTGTGTTGACTCACACTGTATAATATATATAAACTGACACACGAAAGATAATTGATCACCACTGTCAGATATTATTACTTCGCTAATTGTTTATTCATATTTCAAAAATTAGCATTTCGACCTGGACTCACACTCACATTGTTTAATTGTAATGATCATAGTTTAAAACGAAAAATTCAGTATGGAATAGGGCATTTCAGGAATAATATCTGAGTCATATTTTTATAACGGATATCATTCTAGACTGGTAGACAAAGAAGGAGAAAGATCGCATGTCATTCTTTCTTCTTCTCATGACTCAACCTACTTTTTCATCACTATTATCTCTATAGTAAATTCTTGTCAAGTCTCATGATCGGAAAAAACTAAACCGTTGCCTCCCTGTCCCCTCCCTTGTATTGAAAGACCTATGGAACTACTGTTCTTTCCATACTCTTAGATTTACATCCACTGTAATCTCCTGGTATGCGATGACGAGGACGATGATTCAGTCTGCAACAATGACTGCGCCCTCGGTTCTTCAGAGATCATGGGGCGAAAGAGGCGTGACGTCAGCAGCGAACTCAAGACCAAGCGATTCACGCGAGGACCTCTGCGCGTCGTCCGCTCTGCACAGAGGCAGGGTAGTGTCTTACGCAATGACGTCAGCGAGAACGGTAATACTTGAATTCAACGCGATTGCAATTCCGTTATCCATTGGATATGTAATTTCCTCTCATGTATATATATATATATATATATATATATATATATATATACAGGGCCGGCGGAGGGACTTTCAAAGTTGGGGCACCAACAAAAAAAGAAGAAGGGTACAAAGGGAAATCTCAAAGCGAAAATATACATACATCTTTCAGACATTGGTATATACCCTTAAATTTTGATTACATTATCAGCGATGATTTTAATATTTGTTTTTCTTTATACACCATACAAGATATTGCTGAAGCATTATACTTTGCAGTTAGGTGTGATGGTCTGCAAATTAATTTGAGAGCGAGCGAAGACAATTTTTAAGATTTGTGAGGTCACCGTGCGAAAAATTATAAAGAGGATAATAACAATCCTGATGGGGTTAAAAGCATATTCCATAACAGAAGACTGAAAACATAAGTAACATAAATATATGATATAGTACCGGCAATGTGAGCAAGCATAGCGAGTGAGCTTTAGGGGAAATTGTTTTTAGTCGCTTGAAATTAAGGAAGCGTTTAATGATAAGAGTAAAATGGGACACTTATCGAAAGGGATAAGACACTTATTAGAGGAGAAAAGGAAGACGTCAAAGTACAGAGGGTAATTATCAGAGGTAAGAATGTGCCACTTCTTACACCTACGAAAGGAGCCACTCACCAAGGATGAAAAAAGGCACTTATCGGAAGGAAAAATTGGCATTTGTCGACGGAAAAAGAGCACCTCACCAGTTTTAATAGGGGCGTTTACAAGAGGTGAAAAGGGGCATTTATGAAAAGGGGATAGGTTCCTTATTAGAAAGAAAAAGGGGCATGTATCATTGCTAAGAGGGAAATTATCAGAGGTGAAAAGGGGTACATACCGCACCTGAAAAGATATGAAAAGTAGTACTTATGGGCGTTGTGGCGTGCGCCTGTAATCCAGCTAATAGTGGAAGTTACAAACTGATTCAGCCGAGGACGCAGGTTCGAAACTGATTCACGTCTTTCGGAAGGTGACGTTTAAAGGTCGATCCCCAATCGCAAATAATCATATGTGATTGATACACGTCTGTAAAAACCCAATACACACACACAGCATAAAAAAGGGGCATTTATTATTCATTAACGATTCATAAACGAATGTGGATTAGTTGAAAGAAAAGGGGCGCTCATCAAATTTTAATAGGGCCATTTAACGGAGGTGAAAGGGGCTTTCATGAGAAGGGGAAGGAGCACTTATAAGAAGAGAAAAGAGCATTTATTTAAAAGTACAACGGTCACGTGTCAAAATATAAAGGGCAGTTATTAAAGGTGAAAAGGGACATTCATCAGAGATAAAGAGAACACGTATCAGTAGGGGAGGGGGCACTTGCCAAAGTAAAACTAGTGTCTCTCAAATCTGAAAAGGGGCAATTATCGGAGATCGAGGGGGCACTTATCTGAAGTAAAGAGATGTAACTTCTGAAAAGGGGAGTTTATGACAAGGGAAAAGGGTTCTTTTTTAATAGGGGCACTTATCATTAGGAAATAGGCTCTTATTAGAAAGGGAAAAGGGCACAAGTGAAAATATAAGGTGCGCTTATCTGAGTTAAAAAGGGTAATTATTAAAAAGGAAAAGGCACTTAATGCAAAGGAAAATGGGAACTTGCCGAAGGAAAAGGGGCACGTGTCAAAATAAAAGAGCAGTTATCAGAGGTGAGTATACAAAAAAGCAAAAGGAGTACTTTTCTAATGTAAAAAGGGACACTTCTTACAAAGTTAAAAGGGCACTTTTGGGGTACTTGAAAAAATGGGGGCACTGTGCTTTACCTTCCGCCGCAATTCCCCCCCCCCCCCCCCGGAGTGTCGCCTCTGTATATAAACATATGTGTGTATGTGTGTATGTGTGTGTACATTAACCCTAAAAAGGCCGGGCTATTTGAGGTCTTAGTACGGCCGGGGGGGAGGGGCCATTATGGCCCCCTCCCCCTTAAGATCTCGGCCGTGAAACGGCCGATTTTCCCAAAAATTTGCACGCATGACCACTATGATAATTTTAATTTCTTGAAAAAATGTACTCATTTACATATTTATGGTAATTTATGCAAATAAGGTCATAAAATCACATTTTTACCCATAAATCCTATATTATTCATATTTAAGCATTCTTTTTCATTACATATATTCATTAGACCATTTGAATAATAAAACGACAAAAATTTGGAAGAGCCAGCTTATTTCTTATGTTATCTCTTGTTTTGATAATTTCTTATGTATTTCACTGTTTTTTTAACTTATGTATTTTATTGTTTTTGTTGTTTTATTTCATTTCTAAATACAATTCAACTATTTTGACTCCCAAAACAATCACCTAAACTTTAAACGAGACCCAATAACCAATGTTTGATCTATTTTTAGAAAACTGACATTTCCATATGTTTTGTACACAAATCACGAAAATGAGGGATTTTCGGGCTGACATGCAAAGACAAAAGGTCACGTGACCTTGTAATCGTAGTTCTATTTCAAGAAAAAATATTTTAAAAGATGCGCAAGACTCAAAAGAAAAAAGTCAGCGATCGGCGGGGCGCCACCATATGCGTTCCCGAACAATTAGAAAAATCATGGAGGGGGCAAAATGCCTATAATAAAAATGCCCCCCCCCCCGGCCTTAATTGGGTGAAGTCGACAAAAGTAAACTACAACAGTTGAACTTGACGGGACGTCTTTTGTGTTGTTGTGGACAAAAGAGATCTGAAAGACTACAAGATAATAAAGTATAATCACAGTTGTTTATTGAAACTTTCGGCATTACAACCCTAGACGTGGGCTGTAAAATGAAAAGAATGAAACAGAATAGTACTCAAGATTATGAAATGTAGAGTAATAAGAAAGATTGTTTACAAACAATAATCTAAATAGTAGTTCATTTAATAATTAATACCATGACCATCGGTACGACATATTTATTGTTCGTGGAAATTGCTTGTCTGATGGCTCACGTGACGTGATCTTGTTTATTGAGTTGCATCAGTGTGCCCCACCAATATTCGGGACAAGGCTCACTCAGAGAACATTACCTGCACTTTAGGGGAAACTAGGGGGTGTAGCATGGCAAATACTGGGTAATGCCATCTACAACTTCTTTAGGACAACTGCACGTAAACGAATGGACTTGATTCACGGTAGCGTTCGCGAAACAGAACGAAGTTCTCATGACGCCTCGGTTTCGCGTATGTTGCACGCACGTGAATACTGCGGTCGCGTCGTCCGTAGTCGTATTATACCCGATTGGCCCCGAGTCAGGCCACGAGAAAGACACAAATTCGCACGAAGACAATGGGGATTGCTACGGTCGACGTCCTTTTAATGCACTGCCTTGAATGGACGTCACACGTATCAGTCCACGCAAATCTAAAAGTCCCTATTGTCTCATCATGCTACACCCCCTTTGAGTTGGGATAATGTAGTCGGAATAATATATATCACTAAACAGTATTTCTCCTACTAGATTGTGATAATCACTTATCGTTAAAAATAACAAAGTGCTTACATTTTCTAGCAACGGCGTTATGTATTCATTCCCTAGACCGATAATGTTTTCCTCCTCCTTCACCCCTCATCTTACTTCTCCTCCTACTCCTCTGTATTTCTTTTTTCATCCTCTTCTTCTTCTTTTTATTTCATCCCACGTTGCTGTTCATTTCCTACAGGCGCTTCAACGCAACAAGAGGTTACCAATGCTTTCAACCCGTGGATTGTTGCCATGGCTGCTATGGCAACCGGTTTCATGGCAATGGCCGCCATGATGGCTGTGGTCCTACGGAAATTCAGCAAGATCTCTGCCGCACCGGCAGGGTACAAGGAAGGCTCTGCCCGTCTCCTAGATGAGCAAGAAGAAATCTAAATGGAATTGTACAACAGTCCAAGATATCGAAAATATTATAAACCTCCATCGTATTGCTATTAGTTTTATTTATCATAATTATATGAAAATGGCCAAAGATCAACAAGATTGTACTTTTTGAACCCGTTCATTCAGGTTTAATGCAGGAGTCCCTGGGTAACGTAGTCAATGGGTTATTTCTCTGATGAACCAACTAACGAAAGTGGACCACGAACCCGAGCAAAACCTATTGACTGGGGTAACGGATACGAATACAGATTGTTTAACTATATCAGGTATTCAGGTCTGATCTTTTATTTGAGTGCATTATCGTTATTTGACTCGAGTCTCAAACCAGAGCATGACTCTTCTTTTCTTTCTTTGTTTTCGTTCTTTCTTTTCCTTCTCTTTATCGCAAGAAGGAATAATCCAGAGCAAAATCTAATTTTCTTTTATTTGATATTTGCTTGCGTAATGCAAAATATCGGCACGATAAATCTTATTGAGACAGGAAACAAAATAGTTTCCATTCATTCAAATGAAGGAATTAACAAAGTCAAAATTCAATTTTGAATATAAGCAATGCAATGAACGACAACCTTTGTATACGTGACATGTGGTTAATGATTGTATATCAGGTTCGCATACATCGATCACAATTGTACCTGAGGTTCTTTAGCAACTTAAAACTAAGTGTTATTCAGTATGAAAAGATATGGCATATCTTGTGTAATTTCATGGTAACACCTTATGAAGAAGAAAAACATCTTCAAAGTGCAAATGGGTAACAGCCAAAAGTGGTAATTTGGCCCTCTAGTGCCATTCTCACACAGCCAACACAAATGAAATTCAAATAAAAGTTGCTGCCTGATGAAGAACCCATATGACCCAACATTTCAGGCCACAGGACATTTGATTAAATGACTTTGTGTTTCCAGGAGAGATGCGTACAATGTAGGTAGGATAGTTGCACCCTTATTGTGGCTATACCGTTAGCATATATGTCGGTTACCTTGTAACTGGTAAGATACATGTGTTATGCGATGTATATTATAATTAAAATTCATATATGACGTAGAAATATATAATACAACAGACAGCTTGGCTACTCATATGACTTTGAATTTTTTGGGCTTCTAAGGATGATGAGATTCAATAGTTTTTCATCTATTCTTTACAATCGACAATAACAGTAGATTGTTGAAATATGATTAAAATTTAACTTTTCCCGCTTATGCTATTGTGTCTTGATTTTGTTTTCTTTGCAGTTTTCCTTTTTTGTGTGTGTGCTTACAGGAGCCTGGGTAGATTTATTTTCTATCCGATTTTAGTAACTGAGTTGTATACGCTTTGCTAATGCATTATCCACCGAGAAAGAAGTTACCTGCTAATCATACAACAGAAAATCCGTTGGTTGCCATGAAATCAGAGGAAATGAGAAAAAAGAATAGATGCAGCATGTATCAGGAAAACCCAATAAAAATGATAGATTCATGAATATGTACATTTGTAAGCGGTTACAACCAACGAGCAACTGTACCAGGTAGTTTTTCGAACAAATTTCATATTTGTTCCAATATTTGTTCTCTATTCAACAATAACAACAGCAACACATTTTCCAGTTACCAGTGGCGGATCCAGGGGGGGGGGGGCATCTCACCCCCCCCCCTCCCTGGGAAAAAAACGTGTAAAAACCCGTGATTTTTAGCTTTTTGGGGGGGATGGGGGGGGGGGGGTGCACATTTCAAATTTTCGAGGGCCAAAAAAAATGTGCTCACTACCCCCCCCCCCCCCCCCCCCCCCCCCACTGAGCGACTTTTCGTTTTCGGCTGGCGCGATTTTCAAATTTTCGGGAGCAAACAAAAATTAAAAAATGGGCCCCCTCCCCTGAGAAATCCTGGATCCGCGCCTGCCAGTTACTCCTGGCTTTATTTTCGTTACTAAAGTATGGACCAGGGCCAGGGCTACACATGACGTTTCATGTTTTAATAATGTTGATTGAGAGCTGATATTAGTGAGATAATCACATGTCAGTGACAATGCAGGGGAGTCTAATTCCTAATGGTCAAACTAGTGCAGACAGGCTTAAATAATGTCTTATTATAGTTTTTTTTACTTTTTTGCAATGGAGGTCCTGAAAAATATTGGTGATTGATTCAAAAGCAAAACTACCAGTGTGCATCGCCCCTGTCATTCAGCTGCTCGTTAGTCAGACAACACATCATGAATTGATATTGACAATGTATAAACAAAGATATTAGATGAAGACAGGTGCAATGCAATTTAATGTGATAATTATTTAGTATGATATTTTAAAGCAAAGTCAACAACCGCCAGGGGCGTACGCAGGATTTTTTCAAGGGGGGGTTTTAAAATATTTTGCTCCCGAAAATTTGAAAATCGCGCCGGCCGAAAAGTCGCTCAGTGGGGGGGGGGGGGGGGGGGGGGGGGGGGGGGGGGGGGGGGGGGGGGGGGGGGTAAGCGGACACTTTTTTTTTTTTTTTTTGGTCTCAAAATGTCAAAATTTGACATTTTTCTTCTGGGGGGGGGGGGTAAGGTGGTAAGGTCGCCTTATTTAGGTTAGCCGTGGGTATAATTTTTTTTTTTTTTTTTTTTAATAAAAAAAAAAGGGGGGGGGGGGGTGGGGTTTGAACCCCCAACCCCAACCCCCCCCCCTGCGTACGCCCCTGACAACCGCCATCATCATTATCTGACTAAAAATGTTATTTAACCGTTGAACTTTCAATGTTAAATATACTTATATTAATATAGTTATATTTACAAGTGAAGGTGACTATTAGCGAATCATAGTGTTACCCAAAGTTAAAGACACAGGTTCATAAAATAAGGCCGCCAGTTGATGGAATTTGGACTTTGATTTGTTAGGTGGCGCTACACAAATACGGGCAACTTGAATTTCTCTAGCCTTAAATCAGAAGGAAGGTTTTTTTTTTTTTTTTAAATGGCAGCTGCAGAAATCTTTTTTTAGAAAAAAGGGTTCAAGCGCTAGAAAGAAATCTCTAGCAAGCGAGAGAAAAAGAGAAACAAACAAATGAAGATTCGAAGAGACGACACATCAAAAATCCCGCTTTCAACCCTCCCCCCCCCCCGCGCATCCGCTAATGATAAGGGTATGTTATGCAAATATGATGGCGAGTGTAATTATATATTTAACTCATTGCTTAATGACATTTCTATCATCTTTGCTATGATTCAACAAAAAATGTCGCTATACACTATTCAATGATTGTATAAAAATAAATACATTGTCATTTTGTTTTATTGTTCATATATGAAGTTATGCACTGTTTCCATGCGTGTAAAAAGGGAAAATTAGCCATACAGCCAATCATGACAGTAATACTCGAAATCAAATGCCAGAGCCGTTTAATAATATTTCGATAACAAAATAAAACTTCACGTTGTAACTAGTATACCTATATGACATGTACAAAGTAGAAATGGGGACGCGTGGCAGAAAGTAGTTTAATTCAGTGACCTACACGCAAAAATCCCATTTCCGTATGTAATGAATTCCATAACATTCTTTCATGTTATTAATTACTATACGGGCGTTCTCACCTACAGAAACAAAGGAGATTTTGTATAATTGTTTGCATCGTGATCCGCCCATAATACACTCACTACTTCCAAATCAAACTGATCATAATAACAATTGATAATTGTTTGCTGATTTACCAAAGTCCGCTTACTTACCCTCTTACCTTCACGTAGGCCTGTATTTGCCCAACACTTGTTTTCCTTTCTCCCTTTCAGCACATTCTTTATGATCGAATCAGAACCGATCAAATCACGTCGTCTGCATATTACCAACGAGAAAACATATTTTTCGCAGGCGCCAACAAACATGTCATCATGATTGGCGAGAGGAGAAAGAACTCATTTTGTACTCGTCTTGTTTTAATGTTATGTTTAACCTGGGCTGCCGAGTCTCAAGCTGAATGTGAGTAAAAAATGATGAATAACACATGTCTCCATTTTAATGTTTATATTGATCGAGTCGCAAGTTCATCATTCATTTTCACAAATAGAAATCATCTGCAGGCCTACTTGTAAGTCAAACGAATCGATCTGTAGAAACAGTAGAACGCTATTATAAATTTCGAAAAATAAACCAGTTCATTTACAGCAAAATTTAAAATGACATGGTGACCATGCATTATTCCCTCATAAGAATTTCCGCAAAGTGCTGTAGAAAAATACTCAGCATCCCAGGATGTCAGAATAAAGAATAAGTACGGCTAAAAAGATAAATGTACTTGATTTTAATTTGGAAGAAAAATTGTCAGATGAACGTAACCTACAGCAAACAAAATATACATTCGGCAAATACAAATCAATTGTAGCTTGTGAACTTGGGGGAAACAATAAGTGGCATGGTTTTCAGGAGTATGACCCTTTATGTAAAACTAATACATCTTCACCTAAAGCATTAGTGCTCACGATGATCCATGGAATTATTGACCGTGGAGGAAGCATAAAGATAGAGGAAATCATGAAATCATTCAATTTTTGAAAATATGAAAATCGTCAACCATTCAAACCGAACCAAAAAATGAGTTGTGTTAAAAGGGAGAGGAAGACTGACATTAGGGACTTTTAGATTTGCGTGGACTGATACGTGTGACGTCCATTCAAGGTAGTGCATTAAAAGGACGTCGACCGTAGCAATCCACTTTGTCGTCGTGCAAATCGAAAGGTCCCTAATATCAAATGGTGGACGTTACAGTTTTGTCACATGCACGGCGTTTACTATAGGGGTCAATTAACTCAATGATTATTGAATGCATGATGGTAATTACTTTCATCCTTTCGATCTCGAAGTGAATGACAAAGCCATGAGGTTCTTAAAGATGAGTATAAAACACACATGGTCCCTATACCATGCCCAGATAAAGGCTCGCACTATTTACTGTCACGAATATATGCGTGAACGTGATTGTGATGATTACGATCGTTAAGATTTTCACCAACTCAACCCAAGGAAATTCAAAAGCCTTAAGGCCCGGTCACACAGAGAGGACGCATGGGGAACGCACGGCCAGCGCATGGGAAATTTGCAATTTTGGCCAGTGCGTTGTCGTGCGCCCAACTTTTGTCGAAGCTACAGCGAGCTGACACCAAATGCATAGCGTGTTGCTAACGCGCTGAGCGCATACAGGGCGCATACAGTGCGCATACAGACCGTACACAGAGCGCACATGATAACAACTTCCACGAATGCACAGCGTGTTGCTAGCGCGCTGGACGAATGGTCCACGCATGCACCGCGTTCTACGACGCACGGCCCGCGCATTGGAAATCGGAAAAGGCCGTGTGCCTAACTTTTGTCATGATTTTGGAAAAGCTAGCGAGCTGACAAAAATTGCACAGCGTGTAGCTAGCGCGCTGTGCGTATACAGGGCGTGTGCTCCGCGTATGTCTGGCGCTGGTCTAGCGCGCTCCACGCATGTCTGGCGTGCCTTTGGCGTGTACATTCATGCGTCGAGCTCCGCGCACACTTTTGAGCATGCTCAAAAAAGCCCGACGCACACAGCGAGTGACAGCATAGCGCTGGTCCAGCGTTGGTCCAGCGCGCTCGACGAAGGAGTAACGAATGATGACGCACGCCTAGCGAACGACAACGCACTGGCCCAAATTCTGTGTGACCGGGCCTTTAAAGGTACTGTGTCCCTTTTGCAGCCAACCTCAAATTCCGTAGAACTTTGCATGAATTATGAATATGTCATGTATGTTCTATCTGTGAAATTTAAACGTTAGTAGTGTCCTAATATTCTAATTATTGCACTGTGACAAGTTAGCATTCACAGATAAATTCTAAAGATTAGTGCTTGTGTCAGCCCAGACATATTGAAATGCTGAACAATGAGTGGATTATGTGTCTAAGAAGGAAATGTTATCAAACTTGGCACAGTGCACCTTTCACATAGTGGACAGCAATGCTTTGTTATTCAGTCAACTGTGACAGTAGTAGTATGATCGGGGTGTCATTAACAAGAGGACATTCTGTCCTTTACAACAGACATAAAATGCTTGATTATGAAATCAGTAGTTTTCATATAAATCGTCATTAAACTTCAATATCCTTTATTATGATACGCCCTGTATATGCTGGATGCATATCGTGAATACTCTCACAACTTCCTTTCTTATTTATTCTACTACACTATTATTAACATGATAGTTAGTGGAGTAAATTACCCGATTATGAGGATGTTAATGTGCCCAAAACTATTGGACAACTAATAATGATAATAGTAACATTTATATATAGCACTTACTATCAATGTTTCTAAGCGCTCCTGACACAGCCAGAGACTGACAAAACTAGGCTCTGCTCAAGGCTCAGTTAGGCCTTGTGTCAACTATGAGTCTGTACGTGTAGACTAGGCCCTGTATATATTGTATTACACATATGCGAATAAGGTAAGTCAGTTGTTAATGGGTTAGAAATGCTCTGGAGTGTGAACTCGTGTAGGACGCCTTTTGCATTTTCTTTTTTCATAGAATACGAAATATTCATTAGGCATTTTTATAAGATGATGACGTGGATCCTTACTAGATGATCGGTTAAAAGCGTACACGTGACCAGGCATTTATTTTTCCTAACGCGTAATTTGGATAATGACCGGTCATTATCCAATTCTAATGACCGGTCATTTGTAAAATCATGTTATAAAACATCATTTCATATAACAAATAAAACATAATCTTATAAAACAAATAATACATAAAATTGTGTTCGGGCATTAGTAAAATGACCCACACTCGATACCTTCAAAACAGTCCAAACACCATCGACTACCGCCTTGGGCGTGTTAGACTGTTCCAAAGGTACCCTGTGCGGGCAATTCTTACTAATGCCCTCACTGCTGTGTATTATTTGTATACTATCTTTCTTTCCTCGCTAGTATACCCTTCCGGCACCGGCAGTGGTGATACTGCACTCAGCAAACAGAATGACATTGCACAACTCGTGGCGTTGGATAGACTCTTTCCTTTTGGTGGAAAATACCACAGCACATTATATGTAAGTATACCTACTTTAAAGCCCAAGTTTACTCCAAAAATAACTTACTTTCAATAGAAGCAGAAAAATCAGACTAACCAATAAAAAAAAAGCCTGAGCAAAATCGGATAACTCATAAGAAAGTTATGAATTTTGAATGACATTAAAAACTTTGAAAATCACTAGACAAATTGGCAACTCACTCATGAGTCTGTGACGTCATGTCCTCACTATCCACTGATTATTTTCTTTATATTGATGATATAAATTTCCTATTTTCTCCTTAAGAATCTTATTTTTCTCACACCAGCATCCAAGTTAGATTTATGTTTTTGTGTGGATGCACTAACACAGAGTTATTTTTTCTCCAGTTAAATCATGAAAAATGTGAATTTTGATAAACTGTTTGTATAAAAATCAATACTTATGAATATACAATATTCAGAAAATAGTCTTCAAAGTTCTTGAAGATTTTGTGAAATATCATCCACGCAATATGATACAAATCATATAACCTGGACAAAGGCATTGGAAAATCAAGTTTTGAGGAATAAAAAGGGAAAGTAATGGGATTAAACCATGTATTAATAATAATAATATTTTAATTTTTATATAGCGCTTAATACAAAATGTCTCTAAGTGCTTTACAAATATACTATTACCCCGGTCATTGGATTCAGTGCTTGCCCGCTTGTCCACAATCTCCACTCCCTGGGGAGCATTCCAGCCAGGTGTACATGACGCTCAAAAACTGTTTGACCATCTTGTCAATATGTGTTGTGATTCTCATTGTTCCATAGTTTTACATACTTCTTCCAAAATGCATAACTTTATTATTAGTTATCCGATTTTCCTCAAACTTATTTTGATTGGTTTGTCCGATTTTTCTGCTTTTATTGAAAGTAAGTTTCGAGTGGACTTGTCCTTTAAGATTAAGTAATTTTAAAAGTTTTTTTTTCCTGCTCGCTCTTCCTGCTGCTTTTATTGAAAGTAAGTTTCGAGTGGACTTGTCCTTTAAGATTAAGTAATTTTAAAACTTTAATTTTAATTACAGAACAGTTTAGCCATTTTTGCGAAAGATTTCCAATGAAACCGCTCGCGAAGAGCCTATTCTGTATTTTAAACCTGCGCATGCGCACACGGTAACCATGAGGGTTTTAGATAGGGTTATAATAATTATGCAAATACAGCTTTCATCAACTCATCGTTGGCTCAATCGGTAAGGATAGCGTAATACAATCTTGGAGTTGTGCGTTCGAGTCTGTCTATTTAATATGTCCTATTTTTGGACTTTATAAATAGTGAGGCGAAGCAATAAATAACCAAAGTCTGTGTACTATATAGCTTGCATCAAACCATGGACATACTAAATCACATTCATAATTTAAAAAAAAAAAAAAAAAATTCAATAACTTATCAATAATTCATTGAATCCCCCCCCCCCCCTAGTCCCCAACAGAAAAAAATCTTCTGTGTGCCGATGCCTTGAGCCATAATGCATGGCCGTACAGAGGATTTGTTAATGTTGGGGACCGTACTAAAATACAAGAAATTATTGATAATTTATTGCATTTTTTTTTTGTTTTTGATTTTTATTTGTGGGAACTTGCCCCCTATCCTAGCCCCCGCTGCGTACAGTCGTGGTTCAGTGGCAAAGCAATGGCCTCGTAACTGTGAGGCCCCAGGATCAAAACCGTGTCGATGTGCTATATTAGGGCCCTTTTGTGGGGCATTAAACCTCATTACCGCATTTATGAATTAAGGGCGTAGGTCCCCTAGTTGATAAGCATGCTTTAGCAGTCACGCAAAACAAACACTGGCAAATTATTATTCAATAAAATCTCAGAATGTATACTATTATCTAGATCTATTAGGAATAAGTCATTGTCAAAATAATTCCATACATTGGGGTAAAAAAAAAATATTCCAACTTTATGATCAACAGTGTAGAATGAAGTTTTACTAAACACTTTCACGATACTTTTTTTGATACAGAAAAGTGTCATTGGTTGGGAGTAATTATAACATGTATGGGCATCACAGCGGATAAGATGATGCCCATATTATTGACTTTGAAACACACTTCTAGTCATGAGAGGTGAAATAATCCATCAGGATAAAAAGGAATAATCCTTCACTGTATGGGAACTCTGGCTATTCAATATTGTCACCTATCTTTGCTCCAGTGATCTCAAGGCAGCAGACAGCAAGAAACTGTGTAAATAATCGCTAATTGGCTTGAGAAAGTCCACAGGAGAGGATGAAAGTTTGACTTTCAGATTTGGAAGTTGGTAAAAGCATTAAATTCACATGACACTATAAAAGCTTTAAATTCAAATGACACTATTTCTTTTTGCTTTTTGTTCATATTTAGATAGGTGACAATGGAGTTATTTCTTTCGATGACGCAGTTTCCGAAGAGGCGGATGGAGCCAGATTCAGAAATTTGCCGTATTACTACGACGTTGTAAGTAGATCCTCAACTATTATACATGTATACTAAAAACATTGAAACGAAAATCAATTTTTAGCTTTTAAAATCACTATTTATATAATACCTCGACTGAGGAATTTCGAAATTGAATTATTTGTTTATGTTTTTATGTATATATATTTATATGTAACTATTATCATAATAACAATAATCAAAACAGTTGAAGTAAAAGAGTTTACAGTCAATTTTGTTACGATTACATGTTTCAATTTATTTCGTCAGATAGTGAATTAAAAATGCACTTTTGGCTTAAAAAGGTGGAATAAATATATTCTTTTTAACTTCTGAATTTCGTTAATACCTCACCTGGTGCAAATACACCCCCCTCTCTCACACACACACACATATACATCACAGTTACAAACAACCTCCGCCAAAAAGCGGGAGGGGTCGGGGAAGTCGACTCACATTTCAAGTTGTTTGTTTGGTAAAAAAAAACTCTCTTACAACCAAATAAATAAGACTTTCCTCAATTTTGACCGATTTCTCCTTAAAAAAAGGACGGCGACGGGCAATTTGAGGACCCGGATACAATCTTTGCATTTTGGGCCGATGTGGATATTACAGGTGACGGAGGTAACGTATATTACCGCGTAACAAGCAGCACTACAACACTCGACCAAGCGACTGCAGACGTCCACACCTACTTCCGGAGCAATTTCAACTTTAGAGCTCAAGTCGTCATTGTGGTCACGTGGGACCAAGTCTCGTTTTTCGACCAAACAGGTGCCTCGGATCCAGTAAGTTTCATTTCCATTTTCTTAAAATAATAAATCTATTTACGTATTCATTTTTTAATGCATTTTTTAATCTACTTATTTATTCCCCAATTTGTTATTCAGTCGTGTTTTTTAAATTATCTATCTATTAACCTATTTTAGTTATTAATTAAATTCATATATTTGTTTGTAAATATTTATTCATGTATTAATTAATTAATTACATTTTTTTGCGTACAAGTCTAAAATCAACTTTTGAGGTCACACTTTTGGTTTTCCTTTTCAATTAACCTTGATTATTTTAACTATTTATTCATTCATTTCTTATTTGATTATTTTTATTTAATTATCTATCTTTATTACGTTTTTTAGTCATTATTGTGTGTAATATATTTATTAATGTATTAATTAATTAATTCGTTCATTTATCTATGTGTTGGCGTACCAGTCTTAAAAATGCTATTTCATGTACATGTAAGACATTAAATTAGAGTGTCATTGGATCAATTTTTTTTCAACTCTTTCATATACTGTGTCGTCTAGTTCTTCAGATTCAGACATTTCAGGATAGATATCGAATATCGGATCTACTATTTTTTTGCTCCCTCTTCTCAAACCATTTTGAAAGATTTAATGATTAACTGTACAATGATTGAACTTTTATGTATTAATATTATGTATTAATAACGTTATCATGCCCAATAATGCAATGAATGTAATGCTTTTGAAAATATTATCTTTGTATGCAAATGATAATTCTCTCAATTATGTCTTTTAACTGCTAATATGAATGTTTTTATATCAAACTTTTGTTGTGTTTCCTGGAATAAATCATTTATTTAATCACTTAATATACTACCCACACTTTCTCTTCTCCCTATCTCGTTCTACCCCTAAAGCGAAATACATTTCAGGCGGTCCTTATTCACGACGGGCAGGAATCTTTCGTCCTGCTTAACTATGGATCTATCACTTGGGTCGTTGGGACAAGGATGGATGGAGATCCCAATACTGGTCTCTACACTGATACACAACTTGGCATTGCAATCGTAAGTAGGCGCTACTAGAGGCACTTTTGACTGGAGCATGGTTAAAGCAATTGTTCCCAGGTTATGTCGAAGTTATGCTGGGCCCCGAGACGAAGTCTGTCATTAGGTTTTAATATGTAGAGGAAAAGAAAAAGCAATCAAATAGTGCATGGACATGATGGAGATAACTAGATTTGATTTATATCCGTTTCAATATAAGCATATGCAATAAATATATATATATATATATATATATATATACATTCAATAATTGCTTTAAGACACTGTAATGCGTGTGTTTGTAAAAAAAAAATGAAAAAGAAATATCGAAGAAGTGAAATTGATGATCTTTAATGGTGGTCCATTCACTTGACTTTCAAACCTAGGGTTGAGGGTTCGAGTCCTAGCCCGGCACTAACGGCTTCGTAAAATCAAGATATCGATAAATATTTACCACTCTACACCAAGGTAAAGTTAACCTAAGGCCATTTCAATGGCACTGTACAACACATTTTGACAGGTGCGAATATTACAATGACATACTATGTAATCCTAACATAATTTCTGTGAGACATACAATAGAGTATTCCAACTGAACTTGAGTTCGTTTTTTCAAAAGTAGTTGCGATCGTCATGGGTACCTGGCAAGTGCTGGGGTAATAATGACTGCAGAACCCTCAGTAAGAACTAGACCCTGTTTCATAAAACTTGTCCTCAATAACGAATGCTCGATTTCTATGACAAATTTGCTCTCAACCAAGTAAAAGTCACGATTTCAGTAGCTTACAACAGTCATTGTAACTTGTTATTGATAAGAAGACGTTATATGAAACAGGGCCCAGGTTAATCCTGAAGGGGCTTCTCTGAGAAAACAAAAATAGTAGTAAGCAAATAATTAACGTTGGTGAAGGTGATGGGACAAACTATCACTTCCGAGGCGATCTAGATGTAGCTATCTTTCCGAAGCGAAGCTGAGGAAAGATAGCGTATACATTTAGATTGCCGAGGAAGCGATAGTTTGCCATCGCCTGAAACCAAAAGGTGATTATTAGCTTTATATTCCACATCGGAAACATTTCATTTCTTTCGTCATTTTAAACCAACAAGTCACCAATTAATAGCTAGCAAATGGTGTACGATACGCACAGTGCATGCAGCATGGTGGTGTGACCATATTATCGTTTGCGCGTGACCAAAGTTTGCGTACTAACACTAAAAGCGCTTAAAGAGGAGAGCAATACGCAGCGTATACAATTAAAGTGCGTTGCCCTGTGTAGATAGGACTTCTATCTTCAGTGAAAGTGCATTGCCCTGTGTAGATAGTACTAATATCTACACAGTGTAACGAACTTTTTGCTTCTCCCAGCAATGATGGGCGAACTATCTTTCATCACGTGATTTACTTTTGACCAATCGTAGAGCAAGATTCTTAGTATGTGGAATATGATATTAAATAATGCAAACTGGGCGATTTCGGTTTCTTCAATAGGTTGGTTTTCTAATGGGTGACGGTACGATTGTAAAAAACTTCGCCTACGAACAAGATACACTGCGGTCATTGAGCGCAGACAGCAACGTTGATGTTGAAGGAGTGTATGCGTACAAGGTTGACGGTTCTTCGGTTATTGATCCGGTCTGCAATGCTGCACCTGGAGCAGGTAAACCACTGTATAGATACTACTAGTATACATGTACGACCAATACTACTATACTACTACTACTACTCCTACTACTACTACTACTACTACTACTACTACTACTACTACTACTATTACTACTACTACTACTACTACTACTACTACTACTACCACTTATAATAATAGTAATACAAATAAACAAAAATAATAATAATGATGATAATATTAGTAATAAAAATGATAATAATAATACTAACAATAATAATGATAATGATAATAACGTGTCATATTGGGCGGTTGAGGCGGTATATACCTGGGCATTCACCTATGACAACATATCACTCCTCAACTTCTTCCAGAGTTGTCCATCACACCAGCCCGGTGTGGAATGATGGGAGGCGAGAAAATCTACCTCTACGGACCATGCTGGGCGGTGGAGAAAGTTCAGACCTGTGTATTCTCTTATGGCGGAGAGATCATTCAGCAAGTCAACGCTACAGTCAACAACACCAATGAAGCCTACTGTGTCCCAGAGCCTTTCTTTCTCGTTGGTGAAGTCACCGTCACGGTGTTAGAGGCAGGCGATGAGCTCGCAAACTCGCCCTCAACAATCTACTCCGTCAGTAAGCACCAAAGGGAATTTTCAGTGCTGTGCATTAAAGCAACATAGTCAGTGTCCATGTGTATGGAGAAAATACTCCAGGTTGTTGGCCTTAATTTCTCAAGGGAGGGGGGAACTGTATCATAATAAGAATTCCTTATGGCGGTAGGTTCAGGGCACAGTTACATTGCACAAGACATGTCGGTCAGGAACGTAAAGTCCACTCTTGGTGATTGAAAACACCTTTTATAGGGTACACATCAAAATGGTGCCGAATTCCCTATGAAAATCAACTACTATGAATCTTTAACCAACTGCTTAGGGATACCGGGTGATTCCTATAGTACGGCTACGGGAATTAGGTATAGGGGAGCATTCAATAGTAAACGGGTTAACAAAGCTACGTTCCATGTCTTTTCTTTCTTGTTATTAGAGCCATTAGTTGAAAGCACTGATTAAACCCACGGTAGATTTTCTAAATGGAAAAAAAAATTGAAAGGAAGACCTTGTAAAGGATTCTTAAATGATATCTTAGCAGAAGTTGGGGCCTTTGGAGTAGGATCGAGATTTAAAAAAAAGTAAAATGTAGGCTCAGGAGGGTGTAATTTGGAAAGCCATCTGATAGAAACAGATTGTCTCATCATGCCATTGAACCTGTCATTTAGTAGATCACCTTTTATGGAGACGTCCACTAACATTTTGTTTGAGTCTTCAAATCATCCAGGTTTTGCCATGCGGACACCATCCCAAATTAATCCCCTACAAAGTAACCGTATTGTTTCCACTTTGTTTTTTCTAGTTGAAAGTGGGAGAATCACTCCAACTGTTACTAGGCGAGACTCTGATACTTCCTCGTGGGACAAGGCCGGAAACTCCCTAGCCATCAGTTGGGACGTAGATCAAGAAAGCTTTGGCCCCTCCGACAGCGCCCTCTCAATAACTGTTCTAGCATACCGCGAGGACAACCCTAGGCCTCGATGGGAAACCGTATACATGATAACAAACGGTACGGCAGATGATGGCTCGTATTCGTTCACTCCGACGGCACAGGTGGACGTGACGGAGGCGAATGCATTCGGTGTCATTACGAATTACCGGGGGTAAGGTCGTACTTTGGGATTTATCACAGGCCTCCAATTTGGCTGACCAAAGAAGGGAACCCTTTTGCTGATTTTACAAGCACACGTTCGAACCTAAACCCAACGTGTTTAATATTTTGATGAACGTCATATTATGCCCTTTAGTCCTCCTGTTGACAGGTTATTCCAACTGTTTTTGTCTCTATACAGTCGTCAACGTGTCCTCTGGAGTGACATACACCCGCTTGGCTATCTATTGGAACAGTCTTACCAGGACAATTCTGTCATGTGGGCTTCGGAGAAATGCAATGAGTGGATTACAGCAGACAACGCCAAGGGCGCCTTTCTTAATGTACGCAATCAAAAGTCATCTCAATTTTCAATTTGACCGATCTTCAGCTCATGAAATCTAAAGACCCCCCCCCTCCCCCCCCCCCCCCCCCCCCCCCCCCCCCCCAAAAAAAAAAAAAAAATTTCAAAAGGCATACGAGACTGTGTTGTGTGTCGCGTCGGCTTCGTATGTCAACTTTTCACTTAGTTGTGTCGGTATCGTGGGTTCTCGGTCTTAGGGGATGTCGGTTTCGTGGGCTGTAGCAGCTTTTATTTTCATCTCTTTTCCTATCCTTTGTAGTGCCCTTTTTCAAATATCTATCAGAAATATGGACGTATAAGGCGGGAATAGCTGGGAGAGATGGTTCTTTTTCTAAGAATTGTGAAATTACTTTTATTCGGAATCAGTCAAAAAAGACAATCGGAAATTTGTTCATCTTCTTTATGCCAGTTTGGAAGGATATCAAAGGAGCAATGTCCCCTATAATTTTCAAAATACGTCGAGATGATGTTTTTTTCATTTCCGATTTTGTGTTTATATTTTTCTTCTCTATAGTTGCCATGCCTTTTTGCATTCTTTGTTATTGACAACAGGATTGACAATACCGCTTCAAATATATATTTGTTTATTAATTATGTTACATGCATTTATTATTATTATCTTGTAAATGTAGGCCAATATATCTTTCATTTCTGCCTCGTTATCACGTAATGGAGGTAATTTTCGTCCTTTTTATATTGAACTTGCCCCAAACCTTATGACCATCTTGCTCTATCCTTCCCCCTCAGAACCTACCGGCTTGCCCGTGCACCCTTGACCAGGCTGAGCAGGACGTCGGGAACTTCATCACTGATCCATCATGCTATCCAGAGGGCGGAGAAGACACTTGCGCCGAGCACGAAGGAGCCATATCCTGCTTCTTCAGCGCTTATGCAAGGTTTATAAGCCTTGATGATTCTATTTTGTCTCCTTTGCTTTGTCTGTCATCTATTTTGAAGAGCTTTTCACCCCGATGCTTAACTTTTGTTCACTCTTCATTTGCCTTTTCTTTCTTTGCCTTAGTTTTCTATCCAAGTGCTTTTTACTATTTCCTTTGCATATCTTTCCTTCACTTTTCTTTTCTTTCCTTTCGATCTTTGTGCCTCCATTTCGTTTGCTTTTATTTGCTTTGCTGTCCTTCCCTTTTCTGCCTTTTCCTTTGCTTTGCTTCCCCTTCATTTTCATCCTTAAACTTTCCGTTTCCTCGTAGTTCCATTTTCTTCCTCTCATTTCATTTCCTTTTCTACCCTTTCTTTTACTTTCCTTTCCTTCCCTTTCTTTTCATGTATCCTTGTCGTGTTATTATTATCGTCATTTTTATTATAATCAATATTATTATCATCATCGTTAGCCTTACCATTATATTATCATTATCAGTATTATTGTTATTCTTCCTATCATTGTTTATTATTATTATTATCACTATTCATATTATTATCATGATTATTGATATAATAACTATTTTGCTTTGATCTTAGCCCTAACACAATGTCTGGAACCAAATGCTGCTACGATGCAAACCGTCTATTGATGCACTCCGGGGATACCATGTATGCCGGTATGGCCGGTCGGTCCCATATTCGCGGTTCCAATCCCTACATGGCGAGGAACCTAGTCCCGGAACTGTCCCATTGGTCTAATGACATCATCGCCAAACACTTCTGTTGTGGCTGGGCTGGGGAGAAGGAATGCTTTGACTACATCACATTGAGACCTACCACCGATTGCGCCATTTACGAACCCCCAAATAACGGTAGGTGACTCTCTTACAAGGGGTGGGGTTGAATTTGAGTTTGATTTTTAAAAGTGATAAAAAGCCTGTTCTCAGCTGAATCCTACTTTTCAGCAGGGCCTTCTAGAATAGCTTGATAGACATCCCATTAGACCAACAATCTGCAGGTCCGATGGCTACCGAGATTGACAGCCTACAAGACCAAGAGTCTTGGTCACGTACACCTCAGAAAGGTTTTGGGAAGAACAACCATTTTATTGAATGTGTCACATTGTTTTCGTCTGTTACATGCTGAGGGTAGTCCTCAACAAATCATTTTTGATTTTTGACTACCCCTTCAACATTTTGCTGATTTTTTTCTTGTTAAAACATACATTGCTCCATATGTAGTTGTTTTATATACACATGTATGATGTACATGTTCTATTATTGTATTGTATTATGTATTTTGTTTGATGTATCTTCCTATGATTTGCATCTGTGGAGAAATAAATTAAATTGAATTGAATTGAATCGAATTGAAGTCCCACAAGCCTTCCCAACAACCGGTTGGTCCAAAGCCACAGCCCTTGGAAACTATAACCCCCATAGGCTTTCATACTTGCTGACATAGCGGGAACATAATCCCTTCAGGCCACCGTGTGTCCCTACGCATTTGTGTTCATGTTTTCCAATCACGCATAATTTGAATCCAATTCGATGTGTATGTTGTAAGATATCTCAGCGTGATAAGAGAAACAACATGGCATCTGAGATTTGACTGCAGGGGAATGAAAATACATCCCTGTTGTATATAACTGAAAACACAGAAACAAGTCTTTACTACCGCCAAAAATATCAAACCAATCAAAGGGACAGTGTTGATATATATACCAAAGGCTTCAAGATTTCGTTATAAATCATTCCAGTGCCAGATTAGATTCTGCAGGTGTGAAATGATTTATGGAGCCAATCAAAACCAGAAATGAGTAATTCTGCCAAGCCAATGTGTTGCATAAAGCAATTCTTCCGTCAATTGGTTCCTATCATTTTGTGAAAATGTGCACGTGTGTCAAACGAGCGAACGTTTAGAGAGACAATCGAAGTGTTTAATTATTTTCCCCTTTCTTTTAAAGCATTATCGTTTGGAGATCCCCATTTCATCACGATGGATAGGTACAACTATACATTTAATGGTTTAGGCGAATTCACCCTTCTCCGTTACGCTACAAGTGGGACAAAGACCGGTGCTTCTGACTTTGAGCTTCAAGCAAGGCAGATAAAGACTATGGATAGGAATGGTAAGATAGTGCACCTATGCAAATGGAATGATATTGATACGATTCTGTACACATCAGAAGTAATTCAATTTCGTGTCTTTATTTCCCAAAACACAAGCTTTCCATGAACACCATTAGTCCAGGCATTTCGTGAAAAAAAAGGGGTCAACCTCCCACTAATTGCAACAGAAAGTCTGTCAACTGTTTTATATCCAGAAATATGTCCTCTATAACATATCAAAAGTCTTAAGGAATCCTGGTGGGGGAAAGTTCCGTGGCGGCCATTTTTCAAAATGGCCGCCATGTATAACTACTGTTGTACAATTATGTGGATTACTTTTTAACAGCACCTCATTTTACCATGCATAAGGTGTCATATGAAAGACAATTACATTTCCTACAAGATGATACCTCATTCAATAGGTTTCGGGATGATTTGCTTCCCAATTTTGAGCCAAAAGTGTGATTTTTTACCATTTTTTTCAAAAATATGAATTGCACCAAAATATATTTCGACATATTTATTTGATTATTATGCTAATCAACTTGAAACTTGCTGAAAAACTGTTCAGCATCCTGGTTAATATCATATCCAAATTTCAAGTCTATTACTTTTCAAACTAAAAAGTTATAGCGCTCTAAAGTTGAAACTTTGTTATGAGCCAAAATGGCAAATTCGGTTGCTAAGGGCTATCTTCTCCTTAGCAACGGTAACATATTGGCATGAGAAATAGAATATATCACGAGAAATTGCTATCACCAAGCAGGTGACTACTTTTATAGGAACTATGATGTCAAATGATGCATTTTCATCCTATTTTAATGATAAATATCGCTTAGTTCCCGTTGCTATGGTAATAATATGCCTAGCAACCGATATAAAACACATATTTTTGTTGTAAAGCTAATATTTCCCATATCTCTGCTTCTAAATAACATAGAGTTTTGATTTTAAGTGCTAAACATACATTTCCAGAGACAAGGAATCAAATTAATTAAATTTTAATGAGCTAAACCTAGCCAAAAAGCCGAAACGGCAGCCATTTTCCAAAATGGCCGCCATAAACCTGATATTTCGCAATATCTCCGCTTCTAAATGACTTAGGGCTTTGATTTTCAGTGCTAAATATACATTTTCTGGGCCCAGGAATCCTATGAAACACATTTCAATGAGCTAAACCTGACCAAAAAGCCGAAATGGCGGCCATTTTCCCAAATGGCTGCCATAAACCTGATAATTCCCAATATTTCTGCTTCTAAAGGCTTAGAATTTTAGTGCAAAACGTACATTTACTGGGGCTAGGAATCCAATGACACAGATTTCAATAAGCTAAACCTGACCAAAAAGCATTATTCTGAGGATGTGTCAACTATATACCATGACATGCCGTATGCCTGATGGACAACGTACATGTATAGCTCATAATTATTATAACACTGCATGTAGTTACCATAGCCTCAGACTACCGTCTTCGATCCATCAATCTTCCTCAAAAAGTCTATTCATCGTCATCACTGTCACATGCAACTTGGGTTGACTTCGTGCATGCTGACCCTCTACAGTTGCCACATGCAGCTGAGCACTCTATGCTCTGCTTCTTGCAGGTGCACTTCAGCAACATGCACTTCAGACTGCTGCAGTCTATCTGGCAGTTGCAGCGGATCATCTTGAGGAGCTCTTCCAGAGCTGGTGGCAAGTCCGTCTGTACGAGCACAACTCCTCCACTTCTTTCCCGCCAACCCCAGTCATCTGGTCGTAGCTCATCAGCTGCAATGCCCTTCCACTGCCGAACCTGGTAGTAGACACGAAGGCTGTGGTGTTTCGCTGCTGCTGATGTGGGCGGTAGACTTTGGTGTTGCACATGAGAAATGCTGGAGGCGACCTTCTAGCAGAACCGCTTATGTCGCGCCACGTTGAGTGACTCTGTAGGCTTCCCATTGTACAGGCATGCCAGGGCTTTCTCTCCTGTTTCGATCTACAACATCATCGGTGGACGCTGTCGGTCTGTCAAACACAATTGCTTGTTAACGGAAGTGCGCACTGGTTTTGAATTTGTGAAGGGAAGCTCCCTTGTCAAAGCCATGCAGGCGGGAAGTAGTATCACATCCCAAGGAGAGCGTGCATGAAGAAAATGTGCTGTGATACATCGGGGCCTAACTGGTGTTTGACAGACTACATGTTCCAGACACGCGGTTTCTTCACATTCTTCTTTGGCTCGGGTTGGAAGAACAGGTCACATGACTCGAGGTTGGTGGGGTAGATGGGCAGGATGTGCATGGCTCTGATCTGATCTGAGTAGATCTGTGTCATCTCCGATCAGCACAGTATCAGTGGTGGCTGAAGACTCCACTGCTTTCTGCACTATGAGGAGACCAGCGTCACCTGCAGCATGATGTGTCTGGCACTTCTTTGCCCGTAGTTTGGTGCTGAGCATGTTGATGAAGTGCTGTTTATTTTTCTTGTTTGCCAGGAATTGTTCCTTCTTCATTGTAGCCTGCATATCTTCATCAAACGTCACCTTTGCTCCAGCATTCCCTCTTGCTTGTGTTTGGTGTGCTGTGCCCTTTGTTGATGTACCATCATATCCATCAAACGCGACTGTTGCCTGTCCGTACTTCTTTGGGACATACTCTGTGTATTACGTGCAGATACATTTGTATGTTGAGCCACGTGCCTATGGAATGCGCTGAACTAGTGTCCCAACATCCAACACGTAGTGGACTTGGCCTGTGATTCCTGATGCATCCTTTGTCAGGAGTGTCCAGATAGCATCTGCTAGCACTGCTTCTGTGGCTGTCAGAGCAGCAGTGAGGAATCAAACAGAGTTGGTGGGTAACTGCACAGCTCATATTTGAAGACAGACTCTAGAGCCTCTGTAGCTTTTGCAGCAATTGTCAGTCGCTGGAAAAGCAGCTGGGGATCCACTTGTACTGCCTCACCATCAATCTTTACTGCCGATTTCAAAGCCAAGGTGATGGCCTGATCCTTCCTCTTGAATGTGTAGTGAGCAGCAATTTGTCCATCCATGTTGGTCAGGATTGCTGTTCCAACAGGTTTTGCTGAATCCACATTGACTTTTCTGGTTGCATGTACCCCTGTCGAAATGCTGCGCAAGCTCGGATCTGAGCTGAAGGGTTTTCTCTCTTTCAGACAGCTGATAAATGCATGTGTGTATTTCATGTCACGTGCTTGTCTAGCATTTGTCATGTCCTTATTTTGTTCACCAGTGTTATAGTTGACACCTGTGAGCTGTTGAATAGCACTGTTGACTTCAGCACAGGCAGGCATGGAGAGCAGCCATATGAGACGCTGTTGCTCTGTCATGCCTCGCCCTCTCGTCAGGCCACCGCTGGTCTTCACACTCCTCATTAGGACCTGTTCGATGGTGAGGTCTACGGACAGACCAGCCCATAGGCGCTCACTTCTTCTGACAACATGGAACCCTTCTTTGAATCGTTGGTACACATCTGGATGTTCATCCTTGAGCATGCTCATTTGCTGCACATAGAGGCGGATTGATTTGGTGTAGAGGTTGTGCCCAGAGGCTGCCAGGTAGGGCAACATTTCTGACACAGCTTCAAGGTGCAACGCCCAGTTGCCAATGCGCTCTGCTCTAATAAACTTCCGTAGTATGTCAACCATCTCCATGTACTGTAGCCAAAGTGTGGCGGTCCTAGAGGACTTCAATGATTCGGTTTTGGCCCAGAGGAGCTTCTTAATTCTGGTTAAAACATCAGCTTGGCAGAACTCCTCTGCAGACACAAAACCTTCGATCAGATTCTTGTAGAGGGCAGCACGTTCATCAAGATCAGCGTTTCCAGTTCCGTTTGTCGTAGGCTCATCATCTGGTGACACTGTTGCCTCATTGGTCTCCTCCACTTCATGGCATACCAAGTGCGTCTGACAAAATCAAGGCGTTCAGTGCTGCATCAACAAGTAGATGTCCCTGTATTGCTCGTGCAATAGCCTTGCTTGACATCATGTGTACCACCGCGTTATCTGCATAGATTGCTTCCCAAGAAACTCATCTATGTCTGAAAGCCTCCCAGGCGCAAAAGCATGTCATTCAAAACACTTCCTGTGGGCTCAGTCTCAATGATCATGAGGGCTAGCCACCATAGTGGTTGGTCAAAGGTGATGATGGGCGTAACACCATGGCGACAAGCATGCTCACACACAAACTTCAGTGTGGAATAGATGCAAGTGACATCGCTGGGATTCATGTCGATCATTGGGAGAAACATCACCCATGATTTCCAGGGGTGGTCACTATGATGCACTAGCTGCATCAGTCCAGACCATGCCGGTCTTGGTGAGGTGAACATAATGGATGTCTTCCACATGAGATCAAGGTCTGCTGTTGGGTCCTTTGCCTTCATGTTGACCACCTTCTGGTATACCAGTGTTGTCATACCGCGGCTCTCTTCTTTGTGGTAATGGATAGGAATTCGTCCCACCGTGGAGATATCGCTGGAGGTGACCTGCGCCCTGAGGGTAGGTCTGCTGGTCTTGGTGGCTGGGGTTATGGCAGCAATCATCCCCATGCCATATGGAATGTATTGTTACCATAAAGGGTACAGATGTTGTGGTCTACACTGTCTGCAGCATACTGGACAAACTCCGAACTGAAATCAGGTATGTCTGTTCGATGAGACATCACAGCATTAGTTAACACTGCAGACCTGGTGGTACACTGCATCTGCAGCATGAAGGTCATGCACATGGAGGACACGGGCTTTGACTGTTTCTGGCATCCTTCCTTTCGTCACAGGATTCCAAGATAATGTCCTTGAATAATTATGACCTATACATGTACGTTGTCCATCAGGCATACAGCATGCCATGGTATAGAGTTGACACATCCTCAGAATAATGCTTTTTGGTCAGGTTTAGCTTATTGAAATCTGTGTCATTGGATTCCTAGCCCCAGAAAATGTACGTTTTGCACTAAAATTCTAAGCCTTTAGAAGCAGAAATATTGGGAATTATCAGGTTTATGGCAGCCATTTGGGAAAATGGCCGCCATTTCGGCTTTTTGGTCAGGTTTAGCTCATTGAAATGTGTTTCATAGGATTCCTGGGCCCAGAAAATGTATATTTAGCACTGAAAATCAAAGCCCTAAGTCATTTAGAAGCGGAGATATTGCGAAATATCAAGTTTATGGCGGCCATTTTGGAAAATGGCTGCCGTTTCGGCTTTTTGGCTAGGTTTAGCTCATTAAAATTTAATTAATTTGATTCCTTGTCTCTGGAAATGTATGTATAGCACTTAAAATCAAAACTCTATGTTATTTAGAAGCAGATATATGGGAAATATTAGCTTTACAACAAAAATATGAGTTTTATATCGGTTGCTAGGCATATTATTACCATAGCAACGGGAACTAAGCGATATTTATCATTAAAATAGGATGAAAATGCATCATTTGACATCATACTTTCTATAAAAGTAGTCATCTGCTTGGTGATAGCAATTTCTCGTGATATATTCTATTTCTCATGCCAATATGTTACCGTTGCTAAGGAGAACATAGCCCTTAGCAACCAAATTTGCCATTTTGGCTCATAACAAAGTTTCAACTTTAGAGCGCTATAACTTTTTAGTTTGAAAAGTAATAGACTTGAAATTTGGATATGGTATCAACCAGGATGCTGAACAGTTTTTCAGCAAGTTCCAAGTCGGTTAGCATAAGAATCAAATAAATATGGAGAAATATGTATTTTGGCGCAATTCACATTTTTGAAAAAAATGGTAAAAAATCACACTTTTGGCTCAAAATTGGGAAGCAAATCATCCCAAAACCTATGGAATGAGGTATCATCTTGTAGGAAATGTAATTGTCTTTCATATGACACCTTATGCATGGTAAAATGAGGTGCTATTAAAAAGTAATCCCCAAAATTGTACAACAGTAGTTATACATGGCGGCCATTTTGAAAAAATGGCCGCCATGGCACTTTCCCCCACCCGGATTCCTTAAGACTTTTGATATGTTATAATGGACACCTCCAAGAGCACAAAACAGTCGAGACATTTTCTGTTGCAATTAGTGGGAGGTCATATCAAATTATGCCTGGACTACATCTATTTCGCTATTGCCGGCATCAGCATGATCAGTGAAATCATATGATAATTAAAATCAGTCAAATCAAATCAAACTACACCAATGCTACAATCAAATCACTCCAATCACATCCGCATAAATAACCATTTCCTTTTCCATTTCAAATCAAATTACCAGGTCAACAGGTAGACGTTACACAGCTGTCGTCGGTAGCAATGAAGGACAGCGGCTCGGACAGTATCTTCGTTGAGGCGAGCGCAACCAGCGGAATGGACGTCTACAGGAGGAGCATGGATGAAAACGACGAATGGCAATCGGTGTACTTCTCACAGCAGACCTTCACCGATTTACAAGGTGAGGAGGAGATCGAGAACCTTTCTAGACCTTTGGTGATCGAGTGTTCTTCATGCAATGGCATAATGACAGATCTTTTTGGAAGCATTGCTGATAGAAGGCCTAGATCTGGTATACCCTCAAAAGCTGTCTCCAGCTTTTGTCTCCTGTAAGCTTAATCTAAGTTTATCAAGTCAACGGCATATTTTTACTCGTTTATACATGATAGGCCTACTTAAATAAATCACAATAACTCGTTGGAAGACACTTCGGACTTAACGGAATCCAAGAAGAACAATTATCCTATTTCAAAACAAATCTTCAAAAGGGAACGATGAATGATCAATTAATTTTTTTTCTTTAAATTTTTCAGGATGTGCCATGAGTGTCATTTAATTTTTGTCTTCACATTTTTCAGGGTGTGCCGTGGATGTCACAAGGTTTGAGCGCGATGTCGAAATCTACGGTGTGGTCGTCATGTTTAAAGAAACCGGCATCGGGGTCTACGTAACCTACGACTATGGAATGCTTGCTGTACGACCGATCCTCCCTTCAAAGTTAAATGTAAGCATCATATATGTGGTGTTAGTTGTGTCAGAGCAACTAAGGGTTGTCGGCATATAGTGGTTTACTCACTTGACTCTCAATCCAAGGGTCCAAGGTCCGAACCCCTGCATGTCACTAATGTCCTTTGGCAAGACATTGATTTCCCACTATTTACCTGGTATGAAAGGTTACCTAGGTAATAATAATTGCAGTTAATTGCATATTAGCCGTATTAATAATGATCTGGCTAAACCTGAGAAAAAAAACGATCGGATAGTCTGAAATAACTGGGAAAACTACCTGAAAAACTACTCTATCAGGATCCAACCCTAGAATAATTATCTCTAGCAAACTGTGTCCTTAGGTCAAGTATCTCTGGACAACTACCTCTTCCTCTTGGTCAACTACAGAATTCAGCAAATTCCTTCGAGGACTGACTTTAAATAAACATACAACAGACTTTCTCAAAGTATGCATTTGACTTCATGTGGTAACTCTTTATTAATTCGTAAATAATCTTTTTCTTTCGTAGAGCGATCATCTGTCTGGGTTGCTAGGCAACATGGATGGTGACCCTAGCAACGACCTGTCGAGCAGAAACAATAACAACCCTCTTGATGACCCGACCGATGAAGAGATATTCCAGTTCGGTCAAACATGTAAGATTTATTAGATTGCATTCAATCGAACAATGGTGTAATTTATTGATCACGATTTTGATGGAAACCCTGACATAAATGTATTGATATTGTCAGAAATATACCAATGGATATATGTAGACCCATTTATACATGAAAAGCTAGACCATTAAAACGATATAAGAGAGAGAGAGAGAGAGAGAGAGAGAAAGAGAGAGAGAGAGAGAGAGAGACAACGTTTAAAAGGCTGAAATTTCTTTTCCTTTTACGGTGTGAAATTCTCGAATGTAAAGATTGTGTAACAATATTTTTCAATATTTGACAAAGTTTTTGGATTAAACAGGATTGATTGTTAACAGTGTTTATACTAAAAACATTGAAAAACATATAACACTTGAATGAATGGGACACGTTTCGTAGTTTCATCCTCCATCCTCGTCATAAATTGTACAACAGAATTGAACCTTTATGCATACATACTCTCTGATTACAAGGAACTTTGTATCATCAGATTATTAAAGCTTGGGTATATGTCATTAATTGTGAAATAGGGTGGAGGACTTGTCTGGTAAAGGATCTAAGTGAACACTGTTGTCCACTTAGATCCGTGAACAGTAAGGTCCAGACATGTATATGATGAGGATCTACCACTTTGTTCTTCAACCTTCCAGGGGAGATCGAAACTGAATACAGCCTTTTCCGTTATGTGTCTGGCCTCACCCACGTCGATTACCACAACTCGACCTTCGTACCCCTTATGAACGTCAACCTCCCCACCCTTTACCCGGCCTGTAACGAGGTCAGCCAGTGTCTGTTCGACTATGAGGTGTCTAACGATGACGTACAGCTTGCCATGGCTACGCTGGGTGCCTTCGAAGCCTTCGAGAGCAGCTCTGAAAATATTAGAAAAAGTGAGTTGAGAGAGAAAATATGAAAAGTAGCGGATCTGCACTGAGACTTAATGTGCACCTTTATGATGAAGGCAAGCAATGAATACATCCGAAATCGAAGACGCTTTTAGCCCTTTAAAAACTATGTAAGAAATAGGAATTTGAAATGAAGTGTCATTTATACCTAGTGCAACCATTTTATTTTGGCATTTCTATGAATGGCACCACAGTCGACTCCCACAGTCGACTCGTGTCTATATTCGATTACTCCCCCCCCCCCCCCTTCCCCCTACAATGTCACACAGACCAACTCGTCAGATTCGAAAAATACTTCGGAATGTTCCTGATATAATTCCACAACTCTGGACTTACTCGTAGAAAATATGCAAATCTATGAACTATTTTTTTTCTCCACAGTCGACGCATGTCCATATCAAATTACACCCTATAATGGTACGAAGACGTACTCTTCAGATTCGAATAAATACTTCGAGGACGCCGAGGTCTCATTCACCTGTGACGAGGGCTTGATTATGGTCGGGTCATCCTACAAGCGATGTGCGTACAGCGCAGAGGAGGGAAGCTTGATGTGGACCGGATCAACAGGCGATAACGCATGCATTGGTAAGAGTGATTAGCGTATCATGCTCGCAAAGACTTGCATAAAGGGGGCGCGATTGTTCAGTTGTAGAGTAGTGGTCTCGTAACCGGGAGGACCCGGGTTCGAGACCAATGGACAAGCTATGGGGTTTACATTTTTGTTTACCATCTTTACTTACGAAATTGTACATGGGATTCAGATTTGATATATTCAAAATTGAGTAACTGATTTAGAAAATGGTGGTAATGACGATTTTAGTACGTAATTACTTGTATGATGTAACAAAACACCAAATGCTTGAGGTTTCTTTAAAACTGTGGGAATACGTCACTCTTACACCCTGTCATGGGAAGATACAAAATGTTCAAATACTTTTTTTACTTGTATTTACAGAGTCGTCATGCGGCGTCCTGGAGACACCCTCCAATGGCTCGATCTCCCTCAGCGAAGATGGCCTAACAGCGACATTTGCTTGCCAGGAAGGGTTTACCATGAACGGCGGAAGTGAATCGGTATGCCGAGACGCGGTGTGGAGCAGCGGCGCCCCGACTTGTATCTGTGAGTATCAACTCCCATGTCTTACAACCTATGTGTGGTCGTGCCCGTGACGAGCATTTGGCGCGCGATAAATATCTGTGACCAGTCACTTTGAAGAAGAAATGTTAACAGACTAAACCTCCACGAACATGGGTTAATGCTATTGAGCTGCTGGATTCGTTTGCATGTTTACCCCTATCGATTTCGTCATCTGCATCATCACAATAAGTACATTAACACAAAATCAATTTCGAAGAATGGTGTGCGTGATTGTGATTGAAACACTGCCATGATTTAAAGAATTTAAGTACTGTTTAGGTTGCTTGGTTTGGGGGGGGGGGGTGGTATCCACTAGTCTGCATGGCAAATCAGATTTTTGTGATGAACATTAGTTGTAAAAGCTATGGGGTCTACATTTTTGTTTAATATCTTTACTTACGAAATTGTATAATTTCTGATAACGTAGGGTTCAGATTTGATATATTCAAAATTGAGTAACTGTAGAATGATTAATTGTGTGGATGAATTGTGAATGGAAATTGGAAAGCGTATTCACTTATCACACAACATAACTCTTTTTATCCTTTAGCTACGAGGAAACAAGGTTGCACTGGCAATAAAATACGTGATAAACTGTATTCCCTTTTCGTTATTTTATTGAGGTATAAATAAAGCAGACTAAACAAGTGAAGTCAGGCAAATAAATGACTCGATCAGAATAAGAATTACATGAGTGAGAAATCAGAATATTGCACGGAGATACATTGGCAAATTTGTCTTGAATTGTTATGTCTTGAATTGTTCTGTCTTTGTTTGTCAACAGGAATGGACCCTGCATACATTTAATATTATCACCCGTAAAGCTATGGTCACAAATCAGAGCAGCGACCGACCGATCAGTAGCCTGCTCGGTCGCTGCTGGAATTAGGCATCGCCCAGCGATTAGGTCGGTGCCCGGGCGGCGACCGCCCAGGCACAGAGCGTATTTTGGGCGGCGAGTGAAAAGTGAGCAGGCGCCCCCCAAATTTTAACTCCGCGCTAAAACTTCAGCGGCGACCGAGCGATGCCCTAAAAACGAGCGGTGCCTGGGCGGCCGCCGCTCGGTGGCCGGGCAGCCGCAGGGCAGAATTGGTTAAAAACTCGCCGCTCGGCCGCCGAGCAGACTACTTTTGGGTAATGTGACCATAGCATTACTGAAACCAACACACAATTAATATCACGGTATTAGTCTCTTTTTATTCCACCAAGCTAAGTTTTTGCACCTCGCACAAATGCACTTCTTAACACGAAATATTTCACTAAATTTGTTTTGTTATTTTCGCTCAAAATTAATTCAGCCATGCTCACTCTTAATCACTTCAATTATATCTTATTTTACATCGAATACAATGCAGTTGCATGGTTTTCTTTTATTTTGTTAACTCGGCAGAGGCCACAGTCATGTTCAAGCATTTTCGCTTTACGACATGTGGTCTCCTGCTTTTTCCTTTTGTATGAAACTTTTATTTTAACTAGAAACAAATGTTGTCAAACTTACTTGCTATTCACCATATTTATTTGTATGTTTCTTTGTATTGATATGAAAAAGTGGAAATAAAACAAACAAACAAATAATACACGAGATGGACATGAACATGAATAAATGCAATGAGTAAATTAAGCTTACGACAGAGAAGAGATGACGTCGAAAGTCAGACGAAGATGATGACATGTGAAGAACGAAGGAAGGGGCTCACGCGATGATGATGCGGAGGCTTACAGACTGAGACTTAGCTTCGTGGTCGTGGCTGAAGAGCCGTGCAGAATGTGATCTCGACGCTGACGCTCGTGATGATGATGATAAACTCTCAGACGAGAAGAGAAGAGAAGAGAAGAAACGTGTGGCGCTCAATGACGAAGCAGTGAGTCGCTTGATGTCGGAGGCCAAGGAAGAAAATGTTGAAGACAAAGTCGGTGCCAGCACAAAGCAGTGAGTCGCTGATGTCGGATAAGCCGAACTTTGAGGTGAAGTTCATCAGAGCTGCGGTGGGTCTAACTCATTGATGAATGTTCAGGCGAGCTACGGTAAGTCGAGCTCATGTGTAATAAGAGCTACCGGAACGAAGTTCTGACAGCTCCCAGTGGAGAATCGAGCGTCAAGTCGGTCCTGATTAAAACATTCCACTTGAAAACTGCCATCCCGCTGTAGACGGCAGAGGAAAGGTTGGCGTGTCATGCAAGAGGTGCATGAGGCACGGAAGGATCTCGAGTGCGGAGAGAAGATCATGGAGGCGTATTGACTCAACTGAAGATGTTAGCAGGAGTTGTTGACTCGACTGGGTGGTAGCAGGAGTGAAGAAAACCTCGTGGTGTTATCGTGGTGTTGAAAATACGCGGGTTGAACGATGCGGGGAACCACGATGCGCGATTGGAGGGATGAACGCACGTGGTCCGAATAAATGAATATAAATAAGTTGCGTAATGGAAAATTACGGAGAACATAAACGTACAATAAAAGTGCGAATGTATGAGACGCTACATAATTACTTTTGAAAATGGTGCCAATGTCGATATAGTACGTAGTTACTTGTATGGTGGAATAAAACACCAAATTCTTGAGGTTCTTTAAAACTTTTGGAATACGTCAACCCCCCCCCCCCCCGGAAAATGAGGGACTGCATTCATGTTCCCAAAATCTCCGGTATAAGGGTACTTTTCACGCAACACATTCCGACTAATAATACACCCCCAAAATCGGCCTTTATTGACTAAACACACCGGACTTAGTGGGGTGATTTCAAAGGGAGGGAACATGCATACGCATACCCTAAATTATTACTGAGTGGGGAGGGGGGGGGGGGGTATATGTCACTCTTACACGGTTACACCCTGTGTCATGGGAAGATACAATATGTGCAAATACTTTGTTTACCTTTACCTGCAGACTCGCCATGCGGCGTCCTGGACACACCATCCAATGGCTCGATCTCCCTCAGCGAAGATGGCTTAACAGCGACATTTGCTTGCCAGGAAGGATATACCATGAACGGCGCCAATCAATCGGTATGCCGAGACGCGGTGTGGAGCAACGGCGCCCCAAATTGCACCGGTGAGTATTATCTCCCACGTCGCACTTACATCCTATGCTTGATGTGTCTTTAAAACTGAAGGAATACGTCAACTCGCTCCACACTCCGGAAAAGGAGCGACCGCATTCATGTTCCAAAAATTTCCGGTAAACGGTGATACTTCTCACGCAACAACGTCCGACTCCTGGCGTAATACATATAAAATCGGCACGTGTTGACTTTACACACCGGACTTAGGGAAAGCTTTCAAAGGGAGGGAACATGCATACGCGTACCCTAAATAACACTAAAGAGTTTTCGCGACCGGCGACGCGGCCTTATACAACGCTAATCTTAGCGGGGGGGGGGGGGGGGGTCGCACTCAGATCGAAAATTTCCGCGTAGCGTCCAAACCTACGACGGTACTTAGCCGTATTAGCTTCGAGAGTAGAGCTAGTACGGGGTGTCGAGCTCATTTAAATACCCCGTAGTTAGCACTTGCGTCGCTGTGAAAAAACTGATTTGAGTGGGGGGGGGGGGGAGGGGTACGTCATCCTTACACCCTGTGTCATGGGAAGATACCAAATGTCAAAATACGTTGTTCACTTTTATTTGCAGACTCGTCATGCGGCGTCCTGGACACACCAGCCAATGGCTCGATCTCTCTCAGCGAAGATGGCCTAACAGCGACATTTGCTTGCAAGGAAGGGTTTACCATGAACGGCGCCAATCAATCGGTATGCCGAGACGCGGTGTGGAGCAACGGCGCCCCAAATTGCACCGGTGAGTATTATCTCCCACGTCGCACTTACATCCTATGCTTGATGTGTCTTTAAAACTGAAGGAATACGTCAACTCGCTCCACACTCCGGAAAAGGAGGGACCGCATTCATGTTCCAAAAATTTCCGGTAAACGGTGATACTTCTCACGCAACAACGTCCGACTCCTGGCGTAATACATATAAAATCGGGACGTGTTGACTTTACACACCGGACTTAGGGAAAGCTTTCAAAGGGAGGGAACATGCATACGTGTACCCTAAATAACACTAGCGAGTTTTCGCGACCGGCGACGCGGCCTTATACAACGCTAATCTTAGCGGGGGGGGGGGGGGTCGCACTCAGATCGAAAATTTCCGCGTAGCGTCCAAACCTACGACGGTACTTAGCCGTATTAGCTTCGAGAGTAGAGCTAGTACGGGGTGTCGAGCTCATTTAAATACCCCGTAGTTAGCACTTGCGTCGCTGTGAAAAAACTGATTTGAGTGGGGGGGGGGGGGGGAGGGGTACGTCATCCTTACACCCTGTGTCATGGGAAGATACCAAATGTCAAAATACGTTGTTCACTTTTATTTGCAGACTCGTCATGCGGCGTCCTGGACACACCAGCCAATGGCTCGATCTCTCTCAGCGAAGATGGCCTAACAGCGACATTTGCTTGCAAGGAAGGGTTTACCATGAACGGCGCCAATCAATCGGTATGCCGAGTCGCGGTGTGGAGCAACGGCGCCCCAAATTGCACCGGTGAGTATTATCTCCCACGTCGCACTTACATCCTATGCTTGATGTGTCTTTAAAACTGAAGTAATACGTCAACTCGCTCCACACTCCGGAAAAGGAGCGACCGCATTCATGTTCCAAAAATTTCCGGTAAACGGTGATACTTCTCACGCAACAACGTCCGACTCCTGGCGTAATACATATAAAATCGGCACGTGTTGACTTTACACACCGGACTTAGGGAAAGCTTTCAAAGGGAGGGAACATGCATACGCGTACCCTAAATAACACTAGCGAGTTTTCGCGACCGGCGACGCGGCCTTATACAACGCTAATCTTAGCGGGGGGGGGGGGGGGGAGGGGGGGGGGGGGTCGCACTCAGATCGAAAATTTCCGCGTAGCGTCCAAACCTACGACGGTACTTAGCCGTATTAGCTTCGAGAGTAGAGCTAGTACGGGGTGTCGAGCTCATTTAAATACCCCGTAGTTAGCACTTGCGTCGCTGTGAAAAAACTGATTTGAGTGGGGGGGGGGGGGGAGGGGTACGTCATCCTTACACCCTGTGTCATGGGAAGATACCAAATGTCAAAATACGTTGTTCACTTTTATTTGCAGACTCGTCATGCGGCGTCCTGGACACACCAGCCAATGGCTCGATCTCTCTCAGCGAAGATGGCCTAACAGCGACATTTGCTTGCAAGGAAGGGTTTACCATGAACGGCGCCAATCAATCGGTATGCCGAGACGCGGTGTGGAGCAGCGGCGCCCCGACCTGCACCAGTGAGTATCACTTCCCATGTCTTACACCCTATGTGTGGTCGTGCCCGTGACGAGCATTTAGCGCGCAATAATCGTCTGTAAACCAGTCACTTTGATGGGAAAATGTTAAAAGACTTAACCTCCAAGACCAAGGGTTAAAGGTACTATGTCGGGGCTTGAAAATGTCTTCAAGTGTGAAAATAACGACTATTAGTTGTCAAATCGACTTAGGAGCTATAGAGCCAATAAGTAATAGTCTTGATTTTCAGACCATTGTCCGAATGTTCATACGTTTTATGCTGCGCAATGATTCAATCAGTTTAATTTTGGTCATCACAAGAAGTGGGTTATTGATGTAGACAATAATCATGTACCCTTTACGGCTCATTTTATGTACATGTTATTACCAAAGAAGAAAAATAGCCAGTCAATAGTGTCTGACAGTAAAGTCTAGCAAGTAAACATGTTTCCTTGCATAATTTGAATATTAGGACACTGCTAACGTTTAAATTTCACAGACAGGACATACATGACATATTCATAATTTCTAAGTTCTACAGAATTTGAGGTTGGCTGCAAAAGGGACATAGTACCTTTAATGCTATTGAACAAAGATTCGTTTCGATGTTTACAGCCATCTATTACGTCGTCGTGTGCCATCAAAATAAGTTCATTGAAAAGAATCGATTTCGAAGAATGATGTACGTGATTGTGTCTTGGCCACCCACTCCCGGGTCGCAGGGACCGCACTCGTGTTCCCAATTAAATTGACTTTAAACACCAGAGATAGGGGGATCCTTTCAGAGGGAGGGAACATGCACACCCGTACCCTAAATCGTGGGGTTGTTTGTGTGTGTGTGTGTGTGTGTGTGTGAATGTACGTGGTCTGAACAAGAATAAAAAAAAGAGCCGTGAGTGGAAATTTTGGAGTAGGAGAAAGTGAGAGTGGGAAAGAAAGAGTAATCGACAGAGAAAAAGAACCATACCCGTTATATAAATCAAAATAATGTGAAAAGTGAACACACACATCTTAAATCACCTTGATTTAAGGGTATGACACAGTTATGAGCATTCATCAAGAAAGAAAGAAAAAAACCTGAAAAGTAGAAAGTGTCAATTAAGTTCGCGGGGTGTATTCAAACAGAGAAGGAGTGGTGGACGGGAGAAGGGATATAGATAAAGCAGAAAATTGGAGATCGTTTCTGGGGAATCGGAACATGAGGCATGATTAAATCAAAGTAGAATTTACAAGGTTGAGAAACTAGGCGGTCGAATCGTTTGAAATAATCACTCCTCGTTCAACTTATCCCCATCATCCACCAACCCCGCTATATCAGTTTGATATCGCCATTCGGTTGATTCTGACCTTTCTCTACTCTACAGCTGACCCAGACATTGATCCCATCCCAGGCGACAATAACGCCGTCGTCATCGCTCTCAGTGTGGTCTTTTCCATTATCTTTATCGTACTCCTCGTCGTTGGCATATTCGTGTTTCTGCGACATCGGCAATCGGGCCTGTTCAATTCCGACAAACAAGAGTAAGTCAATTTTCAATTATTTTACTCAGTAATTTTTTTAGGTTGTACCCGATTTTCGGGGACATTAAAAGTCCTCCATTATCGAGAAGTTCGGAGGCTTGCAATTCGAGATGGATATGTAAACGGCAAAACTGAGCTTAACTGAGTTAATGAAGCCAATTTATTTGGTGAAGGAGGACTCGAAATATATATTGTTTACGTTTAAACACACGTCACGTACATATTAGTGACATAATCTTCAAACTTAATGTCGACTTGCATTTCCAAAGTTAGGAATCAGTATTCTTTCAATTAGTAGCTCATGCACTTTTGATTTATTTTTCACAGCAACATTTCTCTTCCCTCTCTCTTCCCTTTCTTCTTTCATTCCCTCATCGTACCACGCTTAGACCACATAACAGTCCGACCATTTCCACTAATGGAATGGAGAACGACGCAAGTAACCGCGAGCATATCTCTATGGATTTAAAGAAATGACGCAATCTTGCGCCATGTGAGAGCGACAAAGTTCAAGATTGAAACAAAATACAAAATATAAAATTCACATATTACATAATGTACGTTGAATCAAGAGCGGAAGGGGTTAAAGGTAGGCGTTACTACTGCAGCTAGAAGGGATTGGACCACACAGCGAGCCAACGAGGTCACTGTGACAGGTGGCTATCTCATTAACTCAGCTCTTATTTAACATAAGAAAAAGAGGATCATGGGGGACCAACAGGCACCAATTTGGGAAGTTTTCTGTATAGAGAGAGCAAGTAGCTACAAGTAGGACAGTTTGCCTTTAAATTGATCTCACAAGCTTTTTCTTTTTGCACCAACAACAACTTACTCGAAATGTCGTGTCGTCCGCAAATGGCATACGTAATGTATTAATTATGAGTGACGTTCCGGCAGCAAATATACTCACCAATAGTGCTCTCTTGTATGTCTCAAATCATAACACGAAAACCAGAACTAATGCCAAACTGGTCAAAATCGTGTAGAAATAATTCTTATTGAAGTAATGTCACAACTGGGGAAAGTTTTTAACTTTGAATCTTGAAAAGGCACTCTGGAACTTGCGTTATTCTGAGTTCTGTCGACTTTCTACAGAGAATTGGCAGTAAAATGGTGTAAAAACGAAAGCCCGTAATGAATTTGTAGTCATTCTCGAAATGAATTTTTCACTGGAAGATTATCCACCAAGTTCATGAAGTACTTAAATGTACATTCTACAATGAATTGAAACAACTAAACTGACAAGAAATTTAATTATTCTGAGCAGGGGCGGCAATTTCAGGGGAAGGGGGGACACGTCTCCCCCTCAATTTTGTGTGAGGGGATCGTGTCCCCCCCCCCCCCGGAAAATTTGAAAAAGTGCACGCACAAAAATGTATAGCGAATACTGACTAAAGACTGCAACACTTTTAGGCTCTTGAGGGCTCAAGAGTGTAGCGATCAGACTAGTACAAATGCAAAAATGTTCTCGGTCGGTCTCTACGCACTCTCGCATAATATTCTTTAAAATATACAAGTTAATTTTGTAGAAAATCCGTATTACGTTTTTGTACTATAGTTTTGCTAAGGAATGTAATTTTGTAATACAACAAAACTTCAAAAACCGGTGAGGGGTAGTCACTTCCGTCACCTTTGCCCCTCTCGTTCACTATGCTCCCTCGTCCCTCGCATTTCGCCCCCCCCCCCCGGGTCATGAAAATAAATTACCACTCTTCATTCTGAGAACATACTGAAAATTAGCAGTGTAATTCTCAATAAAAAAAACCTTTTGTCTAGTAAATAAATAAAATCGGTTGTAATTCAGGTTTACCACGTATGACAAATATTTTGCAATGTTGTTAATTTATTGTAATGATTTATACACGTAATTGTTTTGTTGATGCAACCGTATTGTCTAAATTATCACAAGGTTAAACATAATATCAGTAGATAGTAGGCGTGAAATAGGCGTCATTTCTATGATTACATAAACATTCCAGTTTTACCAAAGATTTGTCTAGATAGTTTTATGCATTCAGTGTTTTGCCTTGAACGTACCATGTTTTCCAACCTTCTTTCAATTATCAATAAATAGCCAGCTTCTTCTTAAATGTTTCTTTAATATCGATAGTCACATGAGCCGAAGATTTCAAAAAAATATATTACTTTATTACTTTTTAATCGCAGGTTTTGTATGATATTGAGGAAAGTAGTTGTTTTTGCATGTTATTGTGTGATGAGGTTGCTAGCGTTACATGATGCATTACTAACCAAATCCATTGCAATTTAAGTCGATTGCATTTACTATTTTTTGTTACTAATTTCATTATTAAAAATATACAAGTTGTATCTGTTAGAGAAATTTGACATTCTATGTATATTTGTAGTCACTTTTCGCATGTGATGATTTCAATTGGTGATTTCCAACTATTTGAAAGAAATATAAATAATGAAATATTATTCATGACGTTATGTATTTTTTAATTGTGTGAATGTAGTACTTTTTGGAACCGAAATCTTGCATACTGTGTGCAAGTTACAATGCGGTACATTTTGGAACCGAACTGATTTTTTAAATGCCACTTTTGTACTTTTGGGGGGAAATTCAGCTTTTTGGAAATGTCAGTGTATGAGGCTACTGGAAATGATTACATTAATAGACCTTTTGGACCGAGCTCTTCATATATCTCTCTAAATATTATCTGTAGATAGATAACGCAAAAGAGAATGAAAAGAAATCACACCACATTATGACCCCTGCCACGAATATTGTCAATCACATTTTAAACTGATTGGGAAAAGCACTAAGAAATGTAAAGGGTTTTCTATTAACAAGCAGAAATACTCAGTTTCCTTTGTCTTAACATTCTTATTCTAATGATGATCCTGGTGGCTAAATTCTACAGAGGCTCGATACTCTTTGATTTTCCCGTTATTCTGCTTTCTTTTCAATGTTTTTTTTTTCTTCATCGTTTAATTTTTCTTTTTATAATGTTTTCTCTAATAACGAGCCTTCCGAGTTTTTCACCCCTACCATTTTCTGACTAAACTTAATTTTAGTATGCATTTTCTATTATAATATCTACATAATAATGATAAAACATCATATATATTTAGGAACAGTTGGGAGGAATAAAAAAAAATTATTAATCATTTTCATCAGAGTCACGTTTCAAGTTTGTATTCGGCAGTACATCCTTATAGTAATTCAGAATAAACATGTATCTACCTCATGTACCTTTCAAATTAAATACTCAACATTTTCTCTTCTTCACTTGTTTGTGTTTGTTTCATTTGTTACAGACTCAGGTAAATAATTTATCCGAGTTTTTAAAACCGATTATAAGATTAAAATCTATTTTGTTTAAAGCTTTCATAGATTCAACAAATTAAAGCCGCAGTTCGCATAAATATATAACAAAATAAACAACACATACATTAATATACATAAAATAACAAAATAATATATAGAAACTACAAGAAAGGTTATAGGTCCCGAGATCAACGGTCCAAGAGATCGACAGCATAGTATGATACCGACGAATCGAGTAGATATTTAGGGAAAGGGATATAAAAAGACAATGTTGGTCTCTTGGACTGTCTATCTTATGGGATGTTGGTCTACTAGCGAACCCGCCTTAAAAAAACTGTTAGAAGGTAGAGAGACCTACATGGTCGATTTTGGTGGGCTTTAAGTCTCGTAGGCTGTAGCCGGGAAATGTATATATCCGACCATGAGGCTGCTTGTATTATTTTAGACCATTTAATTCAGAATATTTCGTTACATTGTCTTTTCATTCGTCCACTGTTATTCTCTCAAATGATCTCATGCTTTAAAGACAGAACTTTGCAGGATTTATGAATATGTCATGTACATGTATGTCCTATCTGTGAAATTCAAACATTAGTTGTGTCCTTGTATTCAAATTATGCAAGGAAACCCGTTTACTTTCAAGACTTCACTGTCACACACTATTCAGTGACGATATATTGGCCGTCTAACATCAGCCTCTTCATATCACTTGGCTGAAGCTTTGTGTTCCATGCCAAACCTGACTGACCTGGCACTAGGTGGAGAGGTTTGTAATGAGGTGTCAACCTTAAAGGTATGTATGTGCGTTTGTAATAGATATGACAGTTCCGTAGGCGGGCCGGACGCGATTCCGAAGTTGTGACTCGCTTTTTATAGCTTTTTGTGAGGACTGGTTCTAAATATAGTTTATGAACGTTGTATATAAATCATCAAGCTAACGGAAATAGATTGAATGTATAATTATCCTGATAATAAAATTAATATAGCATATTATCATTGGGATTTCAAAGACAGATGAATATTTACTGATTTTGAAAAGAAAATCCAACATTCATTCGTTGTTTTTGGAAACCTAACTACATTTTGCATTGATAATCCTTATATAATTATATTTATAAATCGTTTATTAATTAGGATTCTTTCGAATTAAAACTTCTAAGCCATTTTACTTTCTCCTCATTTTGTCATGATTGTTCATTCTGCATTTTAAACATAATAAAAAGTAATATACAAAATAGGTACATGAATTTTCCTAATAAAGTTTAAAATACATTATAATCATATCATAATATAACAATAATTTTACCTGTAACAAAAAATACATAGTTCAAAAATCATTTTAAAATTCGAAAAGACAGGAGACCCCGTCTTAAGCAAGAACGTGTGCGTGATGGCGGCCTCAGGAAATAAACATGTATGGACAAATAAACTTATAACATATATATTCATTAATGCAAAAATTATAACAGCCATATAATAAAGGGAAAATAACATTCAGGCATTAACATGAAATGCGTTAAGTGCAAATGTGTATATTATGTATGTAATTGTTCTTCTTCTTTATCTTCTTCTTCGATTTCTTCTTCTCCTCCTCCCCGTCTTTAATCTAATTCTTCCTTTTTATTACCCTTATTTTGCCTGATTTAAAGATCTCGCGTTACAACTTGTATCAGACAGAACTTTGCACATTGTAAAACTAGTATATGTTGTAAATTGTATAACACTCACCACTTCCAAAACCAAACTTTTCATCATAATAATTGATAATTGTTTGCTGATTTACCAAAGTCCGCTTACTTGCCCTCTTACCTTCACGTAGGCCTGTATTTGCCCAACACTTGTTTTCCTTTCTCCCTTTCAGAACATTCTTTATGATCGAATCAGAACCGATCAAATCGCGTCGTCTGCATATTACCAACGAGAAAACATATTTTTCGCAGGCGCCAACGAACACTGCCCCGCCAAATACTGATTTCGGCGTATGGTCTTGTACGCAGGGAAGCTATATCAAGATGTGTTTAAGCAACCTATTGGAATATTTCAACCTGAGACTGTAAATCTATGCATCCGTCTTTTGGAATCCGTCTGAAATCTTAAGTTGTCATCATGATTGGCGAGAGGAGAAAGAACTCATTTTGTACTCGTCTTGTTTTAATGTTATGTTTAACCTGGGCTGCCGAGTCTCAAGCTGAATGTAAGTAAAAATGGATAAATAACTCATGTCTCCATTTTAAAGTTTATATTGATCGAGTCGCAAATTCATCATTCATTTTCACAAATAGAAATCATCTGCAGGCCTAAGTGTAAGTCAAACGAATCGATCTGTAGACTTATAAACAGTAGAACGTTATTATAATTTTCGAAAAATAAACCAG